CGCTGACCCCATCAACCGTAGCTGATTTCCACAGGGGGCGTGTGCCAGAAAATTATTTTACATGCAGAATATGATAATGATAAGCTAAGCTATTTACAGTAATATATAAATTTAAAAGATATAACAAATGTTTTGAGTTATTTTCAGGTAAATTAACTTAACTTCAATTAATTAACTTCAATTTATTCAAATTTCTGAAGCATGTGTAAATGTAAATTTGCATTTGGCGCTTATCAAAATGTTCCATGGTGAGCTTTGTCCAATAAAATATACCCTGACTATATATAAACCAAACCATTAAACACATGCCAGAACTGACTTGTCATTCATACAAACTGTTAGGCTGTTGAAGGCTTGAAGCTTGTCAAGACATCTAATTTCTGAAGTCAAAGACAAAGTCGATTTCACACTAAATGTAGCCAGCATAAAAGCTTTATCGCAAGTCGGCTCAAATCCCAGTTTCCATGCTGTTTCGTGCACATTCGTTATCGTATTGTCTAGGCTACAGACACATATTAAACCATTCTTTGAAGCTTCTCCGTTTCACCGTTTGTTTACCAACGCCAGCCATCACGCTTTACAAATGCTATTTGTAGGTGAAATGGAGAAGGAAAGGTCGTCTAACTCCTTACGGTACAGTCTACTTGCTGTCCAAGAAATTAATACTGCTTTTATTTTATGGGACTTTGAAGTAAAGAACACATTTGTATTGCACAAAGCCCGCCATGGAACATTTTAATCACAGGCGGCCCAATCTCAGAATGAATGATCAGGTGTTGCGGGTTTTTAACGGTTTTTATAAACAAATTTCAAATAGTCAACCAAAACTATTCAAAAAACATTCTCAAATTGGTCAAATAAATACATTTTAACAATAAAATATAGTTGACATGACAGTATAATACCTTTGCATTCTTTTAATTAATCAATGAGCTCATTTAGAGCGGTTGATGTAACATTTTCTGTGGCCTACATTGTGTGTGCTCATCTATATATAATATAACAGTAAAAGGCTAATCACTGCCGGCACGACCGCATCGCCTTCAAAGTCAAATATCTCCGCTCAAATTTGTCGTACGTCAAAACAAATTCGATTACATCTTTTCACAAAGATTTCTCTTTCTAAATAATATGGTTTGATCGTAGTTTGGGCAAATTTAGCGACGAACGGAGCCAAAATCTCATCAATTTCGGATACTGTTTAAAATACTTAGGACTGCTCGGGCACGATCGTGGACGTGACGTAATCAATACATACTTACAATAACGCCTTACCCGGGGTGGGACAGCATATCAAATCCGACGATGATTTGTCGCTTGATGCTGTCCCACCCCACGTAAGGCGGTAAGGCGTTATTGTAAGTATGTATTGATTACGTCACGTCCACGATCGCGCCCGAGCAGCCCTAAGTATTTTGAACAGTATCCGAAATTGATGAGATTTTGGCTCCGTTCGTCGCTAAATTTGCCCAAACTACGATCAAACCATATTATTTAGAAAAAGAAATCTTTGTGAAAAGATGTAATCGAATTTGTTTTGGCGTACGACAAATTTGAGCGGAGATATTTGACTTTGAAGGCGATGCGGTCGTGCCGGCAGTGATTAGCCTTTTACTGTTATATTATATATAGATGAGCACACACAATGTAGGCCACAGAAAATGTTACATCAACCGCTCTAAATGAGCTCATTGATTAATTAAAAGAATGCAAAGGTATTATACTGTCATGTCAACTATATTTTATTGTTAAAATGTATTTATTTGACCAATTTGAGAATGTTTTTAGAATAGTTTTGGTTGACTATTTGAAATTTGTTTATAAAAACCGTTAAAAACCCGCAACACCTGATCATTTATTCTGAGATTGGGCCGCCTGTGATTTTAATAAGCTCCAAATGAATATTTACGCACGCTTCAGAAATTTGAATAAATTGAAGTTAATTTACCCAAAACGTAAAAAGGATATGACGTAGGCTGGGCAAGCTCTTCTTTATTCGTAGACCCCTCACGAAACATGTTTTTGCTGGGGTCTACACCGTAGGCTAATGCGTTTGGCAATCCTTAAAGAATGGCCGGTTTAATTTGTTTTTATACTTTTTAGACCTTTTTATAAGAAGCCTTATTGACATCATTAGGGGTATTTAAATATTGCTTATACAATCTATTCTTTTGCCTTATAGATTTGAGAAGTCCCTTGAAAAACCAAGGTTTACTCAAAGTACATTCTTTTTCCTGACTCTTTTCAGAGGGAAACCACCAGTATGGATATCTCAATATTTCTTTAAAAAGCTTTCGTACGCTTTAGTAGCGAATCATAAAACCCATCTAGACTATACCAGTTAAAATTGGTTAAGGACAATCGAAATTTAGCTGTATTTGCTTTATTCTTGTCTCGAAAAACCATGTATGTCTCTTGGTTCAAAACCGTTAAATCGGTCTCGGGTCTCAATCTGATATGTCAGAAAGTAATAAACTGCTACATAAATAGTTCTCTGAGTGGTTGGTAAATATGCCATCAATAAGAGTCGCAGTCGAGGAAGTGTTATCAAAGGAAACAACATATGACTAAACATACCTAGAAATTCACCAGTTGGTAAATGACCATGATTATTCAAAAGATCTAAATACCAATGACCACCCCCAAAAGTACCATCTCTGAACCATATAAGCACCTCAGAATAGCCAAAGCTTTTATGGTTTGGTAGATAGCAGAATGGCGAAAGCATCGTTTTTGGGTGTGGTCAGTTTTGGACGTTTCGCCCTGGATTGGAGTTCGGGCAGCATCACCATGTTGACCGTCATGGTCAACTTGCCCTAAAACAGTTGAGATTATCTGTCAAATACAGGTCCTAGACTAACTTTAATGCTTTAATGAAATACTCCTAAAACCGTATTATACTACACTAGGAGGAGTTATATATACTGAAAAACCAGATAATATTTATATTTATTTACAAGAAAGTCTTCATAATCACTGTATGACACATATATTAGGCGGTGATTAGAAGGATGTTGTTATATGTTATTAACAACAACAACAGCAAAAACGACAACAACAACACTAAGACTGCGGAACGAACATATCGTACAATACAAACGATTCAAAACAATACTAATTAGCTACATTAAGTGACTTAATTGAAGGCATGGCAAGTGTTTTGAAACTTGGGGTTGATTGGCAAAGATTGTTAAATGGGATGTTGTAACATGGCAGTGTTATACCATGTTATTTAATATATTCAATACTATATATTCAGTATACTGTTATAATTATAACAGGAAGACCTTAGGCAACCTTCCTCGCATGAATAAGCAAATAGTTAGAGAGATTAAAGAACCACGGGAAACGCCTAGTACCACAAACCACGCAAACAGGACATAGTTTTGTGGTTGATAAACACTGCAAGAACTTGCTTTGACAAACATATTGCGTAGAGGAAATTAGTCATAGTTACAGATTTCTTCCTCTAAAATTTATTATAAAAGCTGAGCACAACCTGAGAGCCCAGAGGGCGGAGAGTGAAGTGAGAAGAGCCATTTAGGCTAAAATACTTCATAAGCCAACAAAGGCTGAAGTATATAATTAAAAGGCTAGATAATTAAGCCTCGTCAAGTAAACTGAAGAACATTGGAATATTGTGGAATAATTATTATTAAAGAAGACGGAATACAAAGTATAAAGAATAAAGATTCAAAGTTGTGCTCAGCTCAAACAAATAGAGAGATAAGTTGATATATTAAGATTACTATATTATTATAACATTATAGAGACGCTAATTCATATTGTTGAAAGTAAATAAAATATATAAAAGGTATAAGGTTTCATGCTATTTGTGTTACGGTAGCGTTAATATAATTTGAACCCAAAGCCTAAAGGTTGAAAATATACCTAATTGGAAAATATATTTGACGCATAAATAACGCACCATAACAATGTGATTCCAGGTAACGATTGTTCTTGGATAAAATGAAAACTTATAGACATTGACACATGACTGAATTTGGCGGTAAGGACAGATATTAGGTAGCCTGGATGCTCTAGTCAAAGGACACACGTCATCAGGAAGACTGATTCCAAGAAGGCCTTGATGGATCTTGTAGAACATGGTGGCTTGGTGTAGCAGTCGCCGTTGTTGGAGATTGTCCCACCCCAGGTGGTCGATCATTGGAGAGATGTGGCTAGCTCTGGAATAGTCATTGAAGACAAATCTAGCAGCTCTGTGTTGAACCATCTCGATCTTGTTGATGTTCCTCTTGGTGTAAGGGTTCCAGACTGTAGAAGCATACTCAAGTTGTGGACGGACAAGACTAGTATACGCTCTTGATTTAACAGCAGCGCTACATTCACCAAGGATTCTTCTAAGTAAGCCAAGAATGCTATTTGCTTTACTACATATGATGTCACAATGTTTGTTCCAGTTCAAGTTGTGGTTTATAGTAATGCCCAGGTATTTGGTAGAAGATACTCTGCTAATTGTTTGATTATTCATCACATAACTATATGTTTCAGGGACACGTTTGTTTGTAATTCCTAGGTGGTAGCATTTTGAGAAATTGAAATTTAGTTGCCACTTGTTAGCCCAATTATTTAGATTGTCTAAATCCTCTTGTAACGTGACATGGTCCTGATCGTTATTAATTTCTCTATAAATGATTCCATCGTCAGCAAACAAGCGAATTTGGGATTTAATATTCTCAGAAATATCGTTTATATAGAGAAGAAATAAGACAGGTGCGAGAATTGTTCCTTGAGGTACTCCAGATATGACAGGGTGAGAGTGGGAGCCATTAACTGAGACAACTTGAGAGCGGTTGGAAAGAAAAGCCTTGATCCAATTGGCAGAAAGTCCTCTAATACCATAATGGTCTAATTTTGACATCAGACGAATGATGAAATGTGAGGAAATGTTGAGTCAGAGTTTCGGTGGAGAACTGTTGGCATTGATGAAAAGAGTTTCAGCAAAAAAGTCAGGAAAAAGATCCAAATACACACCATAAATGGAGTCCTTTGCACTCACTCTGCAGTTTTATTCTGCTAAGGCATACGAGTTTGTGAGAAAGACCTTCAATATTGCTCTTCCCAGTCAATCACAGATCAGGAGATGGTATGGCAAAGTTCAAGTAGACCCTGGGTTTACACAACCAGCATTTAATACATTGAAAGTGAAAGATGCTGAAAAGAATGGGAAAAAAGTTATTTGCTCCCTAATGATGGATGAGATGGCAATCAAGAAACACATATCATGGGATGGGAATAAATATAATGGTTATGTTGATCTTGGTGATGGTATTAATGATGATTCCTTACCTGTAGCAGCAGACGCCTTGGTGTTCATAGTAGTAAGTGTTGACGGGTCTTGGAAGGTTCCGTGTGGGTACTTCTTTGTGAATGGTTTGAGTGGCGAAGAGAGGGCAAATTTAGTCAAGGTCTGCATTCAGCGTCTCACTGATACTGGAATCAAAGTTATATCCCTAACTTGCGATGGACCGGCATGTCATTTCAGCATGTTGTCTTCACTTGGAGCATGCCTAGATCCCTCCAAGATGATACCATAGAAAGATGATACCATAGATACCGAGAAAATTTGGGTTTTGCTTGATGTATGCCATGTGCTAAAACTTGTTAGGAACACACTAGCAGAAAAAGCAATTATTTTGGATAAGGATAATGGCAAGATTCTATGGCAATATTTGGTTGATCAAAATGATGAAGGACTCCGACTCTGCAACAAGCTAAAGAAGGCCCACATTCAATGGCAGCAACAAAAAATGAAGGCTAACCTTGCTGCCCAGTCTTTGAGTTCCAGTGTTGCTGATGCAATCGAATATTGTGTAACAACCCTGAAGCTACCACAATTCCAAGGCAGCGAGGGGCACAGTGAAGTTTATTCGGCACTTTGATCACCTGTTTGATATTGTGAACTCCCGACATCCCCTTGCTAAAGGATACAAGTCACCACTGTGTGCAAACAACAAACATGTATGGGATCCCTTCTTTGATGAGGTGTACAAATATATCAGTGGCCTGAAAGAACCAAGTGGTGCACCGATGACCAAATCTCGACGAAAGACTGGGTTAATTGGATTTCTTACAGCTATCAAAAGCACAAAGGAAATGTTCCATGAGCTAGTTGGAAAAGTGAATGCCCCTCTTAACTATCTGTTAACCTATAAGATGAGTCAGGATCATCTGGAGTTATTCTTTGGAGCAGTATGTGCTGCTGGGGGTTTCAACAACCACCCAACAATTTACAGCTGCTTACAAACGTCTTCTACTGAGGAGTCACATTGAAGGAGAGAATGGAAGCTGTAAGAAGAGGGATCCAATTGAAATCCTATCTGCTGTAAGCAATTCCTCCAACATAAATGGGAAAACTGTCACAACAACAGATGCTGCCCTTATAAGAAAGTATGACCTCCAAGAGAGAACCCCTATGCAATCTGATCATGACTATTGTGATTTTCCTAACATTGCAAGAATTTCAGAGTACAAAGAAGCTGCCTTATCTTATATTGGAGGATTTGTTACAAAATATTTGAAGAATAAACTCCCCTGCCACAAGTGCCGCAATGTGCTTGGCTCTCAGAAGATCATTCCATCATCCCAGTTCCTGCAACTGAAAGATCGAGGTAATCTATTTAAACCTTCAGAGAGTGTCATGATTGTTTGCCAAAAAAGTGAAAAATGCTTCCAAAGAATGTTGACTATCAATGCTGGGAAGCTTCCCCAAGGTGAAGGAATTGTTGAAGCGATTGCTACATCTGTTCTTGGTACCCTTTATATATCATTATTTACCAAATTGGATGACCATATGTATGACTCGCCAGTAGACGATAATCATGTATTTGGACTAATCAAGAGATTGTGAAGTCTTACTGCAAATTGCGGCTGTACCATCTTGGCAAGGAAACCACAGCAAAGTTATCAGAAAAAAATATTCGAAAGAAGTCAAACAAGTTGATTCTTTTTAACCACCAGTAAACTCGATTGACAATTAACCATCAAATACAAGTGATTAGACACATTCTTTATCATTAGTGTATTACTGTATGAACAGCAGCACAAATTATCAAAGTATACAAATGATAATTTCATGAAGACATAAAGAATATAATTCAAAAATTTGTACGAACTTTATAGCCCATTTATCAGGAAATTCAAATGCTATTTGGGGATGAGAGGAAGGAGTTAGAAGTCGGTAATAAGTCCATTCAAATTAATAAGTCCAAATCAAGGACTTTCAAGCTTTTGTATGAACCGTATAGGTTTGTGCATGAGATATATAATCCCAACACTCACAAGTACTAAACATATAATATTTTGAAAGTCATATATGAAGTAGACAAATATTCAAAACTTACCACCTATTCCACAGCGACCATCGATGTTGTATCCTATATAGTTAGTCAAGTATGGGAAATAAATGTTCTGATTTGTCACTAGACGTTTTTAATTCAACTCAGTACCATAATCAAAAGTTCCAACGTTTAAAAACCATCTAGTTCTTGTCATGTTTTTTAGTCTCTATAATTCACAAATCTGGATCGTACCTTCACTCCTAAGACGATGCAAAACATTTGTTTTATATAGGCCTCAAAATCATTAAATATACTTCTCGAAGCATCTACGTTATATACAATTTTCTTAGGACAAGCATTCTTTCGGTCCAAGAATAGAAACAAGCTTTTTAGGTTGAAAACTATACATTCTGTAGTAGAAATCTATAGTATTCACTCCTGAAGTGGGGCCATTCAACATGGCAGCAATCACTAGCAGCACCTCACTTCTGGCTTCACTTCTGAACACCGGATGCTCTATCCAGTCTTCGTGTATATCAGTGGATTCACTATGAGCACAGAATAGATAATAGGACCAGAAATCTCACTCAAGCAGAAACATGTCCCATCTTTTATACTGCACATGCGCAAGCTAAACAAGTGTAATGCAGTGTTGACAATAGAAAATTATATTGGGAAGTTGTCATTTCTACAGTAAAAACAGCTTTTTTTCAAGTAGTACGAAATGTGACTTCGATTTATCTGTGGAACTATTTGAACAGAAGGTAAAGCAGTAATTTTGTTGTATTTAGAAAGCAAACAGGGTCATATTTTAAAAAAAATAGCGCACTGAATATAAATTTGAGCATCATTAGAATGTGTTCGCTATGATGCCATTTTGTCTCCGGTATATACAGAGTTCTGCTTTTATACTTGTGGATATTCGAATTTATTTGGCTCAAAAACACCATTACTTCAATATCCATTTCTTGTTTTTCCTTGGATAGGTTTTAACAAGATAGAACTCTAGATCACTTGGGTCCAAAGACGCTTGATTATAAAATCCTGATGCGACTTGATACTACAAATAGAATATGTCTTATGATTTAATACTACAAATAGAATGACTTTTATGTACAAACTTGAATTGATAAAGTGTAAGGATAGTGTTTAAAGTCGCTTCATGTGTAGAAGCTGAATTACTTTAGTTTATACACTGTATATTGTCGAGATCACATGTTGATATGACTTACTAGCAACTTGCAATAAGTGGTCTGTTCTGCTTGTTTATAATACTTTAGAGTTTGGACATTAGAACATTGTAATTGCCTGACAGAGACTGTTAGGGCCTGTTTGTATGGAAGCCGGGCTGGATTTCTCTTGTGTTTATTTGAGAAAATTTCATCCCACATACCAGGACAATTTTGTTGTTTTGACATTGTTTTGACAGTTGTTAAAAATAGCTTGCGGAAGTATCTTTGAACTTTCATCCTGCCAAGCTGTGTAGGTGTGTTTTTGCTCTAGCTAGTTTTACATTTACATGGTTCATGTACAATTAATGTACATTTAAATTAGCTTTGTTCAATGAATGTATACAGGTGTGATTCAAATATCATTCCTGTCCATAGATATCTTATATACACTAGATAGTGCATCTAATTATTCTGCAATTCAAAATCATGCTATGAATTGAAATACAAGTATAGGGCGTGTATTCTTTAATAAATATATTTTCCAGTTAACCCAGTAAGCTGCATTGTGCCCCAATGCACCCTACTTTACTAGTTTATTTCACTTCATCTAATGCCAGATGATTTTACTTATCGAGGGAGAGTGCTGCTGCTCATTGAGCTCTGATTGAGGTCGCTGAGTGGCAGCACTTTCCCCTTGACAAGTGAAATTGTCTGGTGTTAGACAGAGTAAAATAATCTTGCGTTCAATCAAGCAGCTACTTTTTCAAAAACTCAACCAGGCTAAAGATTCTTTGATTTGAAAACCAAAGTGATAGCGAACTAGTTAGTTGAAACAAACAGAATTGTTTGATTTATTTACTTTCCACAACATTAACAATTAAAATTTAATTTCAATTGATACTTTTCCAGTATGCATTCTTCATTGACATTATGGGAGCGTTTCTTTTGTAAATCTAGATTTCGATTTTTAGAATTCGGATTGTTTGGATTCGTTAAACAAATGGAACGAATTGTGAGAATCGGAATTCGCCTGCCGCTTTCCCGCCATTTTCCGATAAGGTTTCTGTCCCACTATACCTTTCGGTCGGGTCAAGTTACATGCTAGAAGGCCAGAAGCTCAAAAGGAACATTGAATCCTAACCAAGTTTCAGATTGAATCCGAAAAATCCATATGTTGAGGTGGATTCATCAGATAAGAACCTATTTTAAGATTTTGTTAAATGAAACTGAAAATTGATAATCGGATTTGATTATCCAAATCCGGATTGCACTAAAGGAACGCACCCTATATAGGTTCAGATTTGACTACCATTAAGGGACCATCAACCAATCAAATGCATTTGATATATTCAATCAACCATTATAACCAATCAGATGCATACTAAGGCAGTCAGAGATAGAGCCCTGTTAGGGGGGTACTAATGTCGCCAGTCTGAATTTCAAAACTTGTTATGTCGCGATTTGAGGAGTTGGGTATGTCCCTGTCATTATTTCACGTCATTTAACCATGTATGCTATTTCTTAATAGGGTCCATTAACCAAAAATTCGATTGCATCAACCAGGACTGTTGAATATTTCACGATTGTGTATCAAAAACAATATATTACGAGGCGAGACATGTAGTGTTAGGAGACATAATTTACTCTACGCTTACTAACGACTGAAAACTGTACTTTGCCAATGACATTTTGTCGTTTTTAAACATTTTGTTGACATTGTTGTGGTGTTTTCACACCGACTTATATATAGTATACCGTTCTGTGTTTTTATGATGACCGCTGACCAATGTCATCAATCACAGAAACATTTTTGATGTCTTCGATGCGTTTTACGATTTACAAAACTCTTTTCAATATAATTTCTTACGCGTGGAAAGGTGTCAAAGGTACAAATAGCTACAAATAACACAGTGTCGCTGTCGCATGTTAGGAATAACAGGATTCGCTGTCATTTTTTGTTATTTCCAACTCGCTGTCACAATTTTAACCAAAATTGGTTTCGCTTGTCGCCATTTCAGCTCTCCCATGTCGCCGTTTCAACACCATGTCGCCTGTCGGAATTTAGCCTAACAGGGCCTCGAGATAGTGGTAGTAGAACTCAAATCTGAATCTCTATAATGAAAGTGTGAGTTTATTCATAAACTAATTATAAATCAACTTCCATGCAATGCTTCATGCAATCATCTAGTTATGCACCAGTCAATGTAAATCCCTGCCCCCAACCGGGGAGGGGCGGGAGGTTTAGCTGGGAAAGTGGTCAGTTTTGATTATAATAAATTTGTCCCCGGTGATGGGAGACATGGACGGTGTTTAACATATATATCCTGTGTTGCTGTTTTAGTTTTCTTGACAAGAAAACTTTAAATACAACAAAATAAATTAATTTGATTTTCTATTGCTGATCTATGATTATACAAAACTATTTTCCCGGGGTTGAGAGACATGCAGGGGACATTGATGTCCCCGGGGGCAGGGACAATTTCGCTCTTTTACTACCCCTCCAAGTCAAAATCCCTGCCCTCCCCAGTTGGGGGGTTTACATTGATTGGTGCATTAATGAAAGAAGTGTCAGTACCACATATGTAGTAAAAGCCAACTTGTCAGTAAAGGCCACAGAGCAAGATTGTATTTCAAAGACTGCCAGTGACAAAAACAATTGATAGGCTGATAGCCCTGAAATAGAGTATGCCAACAGTTAGTATACTGCAAATAACTATTCTATCAACAAGATAATGTGTGATTTTACAAGTGTTTTTTATATATCAATCCAATGGCATGTAACCTAAAATTCAGCAGTGTCTGTGTAATGTAATACACCCTTACTTCTCAATGGTCAAATTAACTATACTACATTGTGTATAATAATATATGGATTGGTTCAAAAATATATTGAATTTATAAGTGTTGAACTGGTGAACTATTGATGTGGAGATTATGCCAAGTATACAATGGCACAAGGATTTTCATGTTATCAGCATGATTAAATCGTAAAATTGTGCAAATAATCTGTGTAAATCTCTTAGAGATACCCTCAGCAGCTACATTTTAAGGTAAAATGACTATGGTAAAGCTATTCAAGGCAAAAAAACAATGGATCTGTCAACCTCGTTGTCAACAGTAAATTTAACTAAGTTTATGATCCATTTATTGCCGTATTTTAGCTGAGAATTAATTTAAGACAATGCAATACGATAGACTTACCTTTGAATTTATCATATATTCTTTTAAAATGATCACCAAAGCTCTAAAACTCGATTGGTATCATTTTAACTTTCTCACTCCTTAATGTTTACATGTAAATTTGTCAAATTACACTTGTTTGGGGCACTGGAAACGAGACGCAGCGAAGATGCGCGAGGCGACATGCGCGGGGACATCAACATGAAAGATTCCGACATCGAGTGAGACTTCTGGTCTTATTATTTATTTTGTGCTATGAGGCTGCTGTTGGTGTGAGTTTGGATTTGTTGACGATAGTGTTTCTTGTCACGGCTCTTTCCATGGGCTCATGGAGGAAAGATTTTATTGCTTTTCTTTCATGAACTTGTTGTAAATTGTGGGGAACTGTGTTTGTTTCCCCTTCAGTTCTTGCTTGATGGAGGAGTGCATGGTGTTTGCTAGAGGTGGAATTGTGATTAGTGGTAGGCATGGTGTGTTGTTGCTGGGTGGTGGTATCTGTATTGGTGGTTTGGGTGTGGTAGGTGATGGTCCCTGTGTTGTTGGTGATGTGGCCTTTTCTGAAAAACCTGCTTCTTAGGTTTCCTGGTATGTGGTGTGGTGGTTGCTGTAGCCTGATAACAGACCCACGTTTTACCTGCCCTAAAATTTGCGGGTTGATGGAAAGGGCGAAACGTAGGTCTGATGAAAATGTTGTCAAAAGTGCACAGCTGATTGGCTAATTCACAGGGAAATGGGTTCTGATTGGTTGGTTGCTAACATAAAAGGTTTAGAATTGGTTTAGAAAGGTCAGCAATTTTCAGCAAGAAGGTCAAGTTGACAAATATTACATGCGATTCATGCTACAAGTTTATGAATCAAAAATTGAATATAAATCTACATAACAATAGCTGTTGCATGTGGACATGTCGAAAGACGAGTTGTTTAAGGGACTGTTCATATGATCCCGCTTACCGAGATGTCTTGCTTAGCAAGAGGAATATTTCCGTGCGTTCATATGGAGTATTTCGTCCCGCTTGCCAAGATAAATTACAATGTAGTTCTATAATTAGCGTATGCAAAAATTCTGCATTTCAGTCAAGCAACACAAATATTTAACGATTTTAGTGTTTTTCTTTGTTTATTTACAAGAAAAAGTATTGCTTTAGGTGCATATTTAATAATTGTTTACAAAACAAACATAAAACTAAGTAAAAAGTGTTCAATTAAACAGCAAGACTTGTTTGACTTCATCCCGGTAAGCGGGTTGGCATGTTCATATGGAAAATTTTTCATCCTGCCTACCTATGATCTCGGCAAGTTCAAGCGAGATCTCAGCAAGCGGGCCAGCTCGCTTTCTCATATGAACACGATGCAAAATTTTATAGGAAAATAAATAGGCGGCGAGATCATCTGTAAGCGAGACGTCTCGGTAAGCGGGATCATATGAACAAGCCCTAAGAAGGCATTGGATTTAACTGTAGCACAATTTAACTACCGTTTGTTAAAAACCAAACAAGAAACGTGTATTAAAAAGCTTGTGGTGGATTGTGAGGATGTATTTGCTGTGTTGCCGACTGGCTATGGAAAGAGTCTAATTTATCAGATATTACCATTAGTGTTCACCGAAATGGATGTGCTTGAATACGGCCAGTGTAACGATACTCACACTGTTATTGTTGTAAGTCCTCTCGAGTACATTCGGGTTCAACGAGTAGAGAATTTAAAACGTCTCAGACTTCGGGCTGTGTTGCTGGATGCTTCTTTAGTACAACAGAAGGGGTATCCGCACAAGTTGTATATTGCACTACTGAACAATGGTTATCTGATGCCTGGATACAGAAACTGAAGGACGGTGATCTTGGAAATGTCAAAGCACTGGTACTAGACGAAGTACATACTGTAGAGATGTGGTAAGGCACTATTTTTAGACACAATTTTCTACAGTATATTATGAAAAAAAGTCTATTTCTCGCAAGTTGTAATATTTCGTTGTCGTTTACGATTTTTTGCTACTTGTTTTTATTGAATTGACTAATGTTAATAATATTCTGTCATCTGAGTGTGAATTCATGCTGTTATTCTTGGTATATATGACATATGCCTTATTTAAAGTCCATGGAAATTCCAATATTAACATGTCAACAACCGAAGTGTTGAAGAACTAGACTTGCAGGAACTAGATTTGTAAGCTATAACTATATAAAGGTACAAACTATAAAATGGCACTGTTGTAATAAATATTTCAAACTTTACGGCTGTGAATTTTTATTTACTTGGGCTTTTGTTCACAGTATACATTTAATAGAAATTGCCATTGGCATTGTGATAGACTGATCGAGCCTTCAGCTAAAGAAGTTATTAATACAAAAGCAATTATATGACTTTCTAATCGTCTCTCTGTTACTATTTTATACTAAGCAACTGATAACATTCTATTTAATATTCTCCATGTAATACCGAATGACATATTCGAAATATTCGCACAGTAAACTTGCCATGTCATCAAACATCTACAAATTTATTATTTGCCAATGGCGTTCAATTCGACTCTTCGTCAAAAAATAAGGTTTTACACACAGAGTATATGATGATATGGTAATGTTTTGTATTAAATTCCATGTTTTCCCGGCCTGACAGTATACAAGAACTGCCAGGCGCTCCCCAGCACGCACCCTTCCCAACAGCCCCTTCGCGCGTCGCCTACCTCCATGGTGGCCACTTGGTTTTTTCTTGTTACAATCTTCATTGACTGCTTTCATGACTGTGCTGAGGGTATGCAATGACCTTGCATTTCTTTGAATTGTTTTTTCTGTCAAGTGTCCACCACTGTTCTTTAACAATAGTTTAAGCATCAGATTAAGATGCTCCATATGCAAATTAAGGGGAATGTTGTTCCCAACTCCTCCAACATAATTAATAAAATGGTTGCTGAGTAAACGGATAGCTTCGTCCTCAGATAGCACGGCATAGAATTTGACAAAAAAGTGCAGCAATAAGTAGGCATACTTGTGTGATGATGCTTGTATTCAAACAGCAGTGCAAATTTAAAGCAGCGAAGTAGCCTGTATCCATCTCCATGTTTGATAGCATCTTCCAAATTTAAAAAATACAAGCCAATATGAAGACGTGACATGTGATAATTCCATATATGATCTTCATCTTTTTCATAATTTTCCTCAAACTGGTGTAATAGGAACAAAACCAGGATGCTCTTTCTTTTCATGCCTGTCCAAACATAAGTTTTCAGGATAATTAAGATACAGCAGATATGTAATGAAATGGGTTATTTTCAACAAAGAAATTTATTAAATTCTGTATGTAATGAACATCAGTAAATTTGGCAACATGTTAATAGATGCTTTAATTAAATGGTTTTTTTGCAGATAATGCAGAACATACGTTTACAGTCGTGCCAATAGAAGTGTTGCGAAAAATGTTGACCTATTCATTTCCTAACTTGATAAAATGATATTCATTTCCTAACAGAATAAGAAGGTACAGCAGAAGTCTCACACAAGCAAGTATTTGTCTGTGTTTTTACAAGCGATCAATCACACCATCCTGACTAGTACAACCAGCACTTTGTACCTACCAAAACCTGATAAAAAAACTACCGGCTGTACTAGCCAGGATGGCGTGGATTGGCGTGAGCGAGTTAAAATTTTGATGGACGTAAAACAATAAGGGGGAAACGACTAGAGTTACGCTTCTGCTGTACCTTCTTTATTCTGTGCTTGAAGGAACACCTCTGAACAATTCCTTGACAATTTGATAAGTTCCTTAAAAAGCTCCTAACTTCCTGTTTCATTGACCAATCGGATTGCTCAAAAATAAAAAATAAAATTTGAATTGTCAATGAAACAGGAAATTAGCAACTTTTTAAGGAACTTATCAAATTGTTGAGGTATTGTTCAGAGGTGTTCCTTCAAGTTAGGAAATGAATTGTCAACATTTTTCGGAACGCTCCTATTGGCACAACTGTAACATCTATGCTGCTTTAATACTTCAAATTTGCATCATTATTGCATTTATTACTTATTTCACTATTAATGATAAAAAGTAAATGATGGTGTAGCATATCGCAACTTAATAGATAAAATATTCAGACACATACTAGAACACGAGCAGTCCCTCGAGAGAAAGGAGGGACCGCTGACAACACATCAAATACACCCACTTTTCACTCTTGTCAAGTTGTCGATGTCTTCTGGAATAACTCTTGTTGGCTCACCTTATTTTAGATTTGAAACATGTATTTAATAAATTGGCCCGTATAATATCATATAATATGTCATGGTCATTTGCTTTAAAGCATGCCTAACGGCCCTAACCATATGTCCAGAGAAACACACTGGCCATACAATCTTGCCAATAAACAATTACAATTTCATGTATAATCCATTAATTCCCCATGCTGTTAAGATGCAGGAATAACCAAATTGAATTCATGTGGTAGTAGTGCATTTGGTTGTCCTGCATTTAATTAATAGTTCCTGAAGGAATTTAAAGTAATCAGCTTACTTTTCATTGTTTCCATACTGACAAAATCCATCCAGCAACTTATTATATGTGCCTCAGTTTCTTTATTTTCTTACTTTAGCTTTTCTTTGAATGCATTGTAATCTGCATCAGGCCCTTTTTTGCATTAGTCTTCCTGGTCCGATTCATTGAAGCACAAGTTGTTCCAATCTGAGCCATAGAATCTTCTTTGAAATATATATTGTGGCAAATCTACAATAATATTAGATAAATTATGAGAAATAATATTGTTACTTGCTTACAAATGGCACTTTATGATTCTGCTTTTTGTTGGTAAAACCATTGTAGAGATCAAATCCTGATGGGTTAAATTCTGACGGTCTGGTGTATTTTCAGGTCATGGCCGTCCTGGTACTACCACTGCAGTGAATATATAGTATATCAGACATTCCAACTCTCCCGATTTTACCGGGAGTCTCCTGAAAATTCATGCAATCTCCCGGTCTCCCGATTTTTATCAAATTCTCCCGATTTTTCATAATATTCAGGAAATATCATAAAAAATTATAAATATACTGTTTTTAGCAACATAATAGTCTGTCTTGACCTTTTTTGAAGTTGCTTTATGGCAATTTATAGGATCACTTATAACAACATATTCCCAAAATGCAGGAAACGCCATTTCAGAAGACTTAATTTTTATTATTTTCCCCCCAGAAGAACTAGATTTCAATTCACTGAACAGTCTCCCTAATTTTTACCTCCAGTGGTTGGAATGTCTGGTATATTGACTTTAAATTAAGTTTCTAATTTACAGTTAGTTCACCCATAAACATTCTATTGTACTGAATTGATAATTTTTAATAAATGATGAAAAGAAAATATTTTATATAATTAATATGTATTAATATGCACCTGGTATAAATTCTTCTTTAGATGCCAGTCTGCAAATGATGGCTCAAGCCCCTCGAGTCGTTCAATATCACTATCAGCAATAACATTAGCCCAACTTGCATTTCGAGCTCATTCCTCAGTTAGCTGGTCGCCGTCAAATATAATCTTTTCTAGTGATTTGTTTTGATATGATGGAACATATTTGCTTTGAATAGTTTTGCATATTTCTGCCATTTCTGGAGATTTATTTGAATTTTTAAATATCATTCCCAATGGGCACTAAATCAAGATGATAAAACTATTTTAGTGTTTCATTTATTCAAAATTTTAATGTGATTAACCATTTACAACTTAGTATTAGTGTCATTATTAATGTTTAGAGGGGCACCTATAAAATCTGTGTGAGAATTACAAAATCATGAGCTTAGTCTTACAAATATTATAATTACCAAGTTTTTATTAATTTAAATATTAACTAACATTTACTGGCAGGTACAAAACACAGGTTCAGGCTGACTCATCCCCTGTCGCTTACCCAAGTTGCGCTGAATGATGAGAATACGCCTCCAGCAATTCCCATGGTCCTTTGCGTTATACTCACTTTTCATCACATTCCCATGAATCATTGCACGAATAAGCAATGTTAGGAACTGTGGAAGAGTCAGGGTTGCAGGTTGGAATTTTGCAGGTTGCCAGGAACTTTGCAGGTTGATCATGCAAACAATTGCACCACTTTAAAGTATCCGACTAGTAATTTAATTGTGTACTTATTGCAGTCTGACTCCTTGTCGGTGCTTTCGATTATATCAGCCTATCCTGCTGCCATTTTCCTAGCCGCTTCTCTAAGGAGTGGCCATCACCCCCGTGAAAACATTAAAAATATCCAGATTGGCTTGGACCTACAAGGGGACGAATGTCTCATTGTGAGGTGCCTACATGATGTGGCAGTGGTTCAGAAAATGCCTGAATGAGGTGTCTCTCCTCTGCACCCTGACTCATGAGAAGTCCACTCAAGCCCCCATTACTGTATCATTAGTTGAGAATGTTAGTTAATTTTTAACATTCTAGTATAAATTTAGATAAACCTTGTCATTGGCCTTGTAACACACTCTATTAAGCCATTTCGTACCACAGCTTCTGTGTTTGTGGCTCTAAGCAGAATTGAACCTACAAAATACAGTTCTATTTTGTATAAATTAATATGTGTTTATATGCTACAGTCTGGACACACATAATTGCCTGGTAAATTTGAAAGGAAAAATGGAAGGAAATTTAGGGATTTTTGGAAGGAAATTTTGTGAAAAAAGAAATACCTGGTTGGGCAGAAAATTATTTTTTTGGAAAGTGGAAACACATCTAACTATCTTCACTGTCAGAATACTTTATATTGGTGTAATTTAAGTTTGCATGATCAACCTGCAAAGTTCCTGGCAACCTGCAAAATTCCAACCTGCGAAATTCCCAACCTGCAAAATTCCCAACCTGCGAAATTCCAACTTGCAACCTGTGTTTTATACCTGCCGAACACTTACCCATTCAGATTGTTTCTTCATCTCCTCACTACAGGGCAGTACGCAGAATTTTTTCCCGGGGGGGGGGGGCAGACAGGCCATGGGCACTAATAACTATAATACCATATTTAGGTTTGTGATGCTTATAACTACAGTAACTAGACTTGTAACTCGTCTTAGAGTGTATACGTACGTTCATAAGGCCATTTGGCTTTCCGCGCATACAAATCTTCTGGCCTTGGGATACACAGACTGTCTCGATGAATCATGAGCATTGCCAGTCCACTTAAACGTTCTTCATTCGTCGAGGATCGCGTCCACAGTTTGAGGCGTCTGAGTGCTGAAAACGACCTTTTGCAGCACAAACTTCCAACCGGAATTGTCAAAAAAATTGTCAAGATTTTATTGATCACTGGATAAAATGTAGCATCACATTTCGCTGCTGCGTCGCATGCAGTTTTAGGCTTCTGCTTGAGAGGAACATCAGCAAATTTTCGTTTCCACCTGACAATTTCTGAATCAAGGCTGTTTTCTTCACAGAAAGTAAGGTACTTTCCAAATCTTTCTTATTTGAATCAGTTAGTCTATCCAAGTATACAGGCACAAGAGATTGAGCAGAAATTAATCCTTTGTCCTCGACTTTGAATCTTGTCTCAATCTCTTCAACAACATGATCAATAAAAGGATAGTAGACATTGATTCTGTAATAATCTTCACTTGTTTGGTTGGCGTTACCAGCATTTGCATGGTGGCATTGATTTACCGCAGTTTGTGGCTTAGTTATTTCAATCCCAAGCGCTGTTTCTATCAACTGAATTTTTTCCCACAGTTTAATCCAGGAATCAAGCTCTTATGCATTTCCTTTGTTTCGTTTACTTCTTCATATGCATTACCAAGATTGCATTCTTTTGCCTACAGTATTTTGGTGACTGCTGCTGTACAACTCAGAATGAACTGAACCACAACAAGTGCTACGATAAACTGTGGAGTTTCCATTAGGCGAATGTATGATTGGGCATTGTGCCTTGGCTCCCCTTTGCTTTGGGCTGCGATTTGCTTAAATGTTTCCATGACCAATGAATACTTGGCCATCAAGGCAGATAGGGTTTCCACCCTTGAACTCCATCTGTTGGGACAAAGCTTTGGAACGGTTTTCTTCTTTTCTCCTCTTAAGATTGCCCTATTTGACTTATTGAGGCCATGATCGTCATCGTTTTCATCTTCATCCTCCTCCTTGTCGTCATCATCACTACTCTCTGTTAATAAGGCTGTTAATTCGTCATTGGCCTCAGTCGCTGCATTCTATTTAAACATTTCCTTTCTTTTAGCACCATCTCCCAAAAAACTTGTGATCTTGGATACATTGTCAAACAAATCGCGAACACTATCAATACCTGTGCAAGCGCCTGCAAGTGCTAGATTGAGAACATGAGAACAGCAATGTACATAAACAGCTTTTGGGTAAGCATCAGACACTTTTTTCTGCAAACCATTATTGCTTCCACTCATCACGGCTGCTCCATCATATCCTTGTCCAACAAGTCCTGTCAAATCTAGTCCCCATCCTTTTAAGATTGGAATAAAAACATCAAAAACAAACTGTACATCCATCTTTGTCAATTTTACAAAGCCCAAGAACTCTTCACAAACTTCCATATTGCTATTCACAAACCATATGCATATACTCATTTGTTCCATTGCAGAAACATCCATTGTTTCATCGGCCATTACACTCCAATATGTTTGAACCGTGGCAATTACTCTCTCGTATTATGGACTCGCACAGCGATTTAATTTAATTTTGGATGCAGGGCGAAGTGAACTTTGCATTTTTTTGGAGCATGTTCCAAATGGTCTTTCAGATCCTTGTCAAATTCTGATTTCCAGTTCACAAAGAAAATGAAGTTTCCATTCTCTTCGCCAGTTTTCTTAACCCAGTTACTTCTTAAGGGTGCTCCTCACATTGCCAATTTGATGATGACATCGATGATAGATAATAATCCCTTTTTTGTACGGATTTGTTGCTCTGAGTTTTGCTTAGATAGTTTCGCTACAATATCTTTACCTGGCTGACACGTGGCAAGAAAACAATGGGCCATTGCTTCTGCAGTCTGATGGGCTTCACTTAACATGTGTTGATCAATGTAGTTATCTTTTCCAGTTGCTTTTTTCCAGTTGCTAAATCCACATGACATGAATGGGGGGAAAATTGAAGAACATGCGGTATTCCCTGGAATGTTCTTCTTTCCTCCAAAGCATATACAATATGCACAAAATGCTCTGTCCTTTGTAATACTATACTTCAACCATGGCCTCTGTTGCATCCAAGATGATTTGAATTTCCTACCAGCTGTAACAGGACACTAAGTTGTGGGGCAAGTCAGACTTCGATTTCAGAAAAGATAACTTGTCATCATCAGAAAGCTTTTTGGAAATATAATTGGCAGGGTCATTGATATCATTGGGCCATTGCACTTTTAGTCTGCGCCCCCCCTATTGAGGACATGCGGAATTTCCAAGGCCCCCGGTTGTTTAGACGCATGGAATTTCCAGGGGACCCTCTGTTGAAGAGATGTGGATTTCCCAGGGACCCCTAGTAAATTTTGTTTGGATTTTCCAAAGCCCTCCCAATCGACATATGATGGAAATTCCAAGGTACCCGGTTGTTTAGACGCATGGAATTTCCAGGGGACCCCTCTGAATTGTGTGAATTTTGTTCGGATTTTCCAAAGCGCTTTCAGTGAGCATATGATGGAAATTCCAAGGTCCTCCTGTTTTGATTGTATATAGAATTTCTAATATTCGCAGGGTATTTTTTATGTATGAGTTTATAAGCAACAATAGGGATCAAGAAAAAGACGTCACGGTTCAGCAAACAGAGAAAGTATCTACTGTACCTTGTTGAGTGTCTGATTCTCGGAAAATACTATTTTGAGCGTCTGATTCTCGGAAAATACTATTTCGCTGACCTCAGAATGACATTTTGTCAAAACTTTTTTCTTCAAAATTGGTTTAGAAACAAACTTGGAGTAGGGTTAGGTTAGGGATAGGGTTGGAGTTAGGATTATTAGGGTTAGAGTTGGTGTTTGGAATAGGGTTAGTGTTAGCAAAACCGTTGCTTTGTTACGTTTTGTCACTTTGAGGCCAGCGAAATAACCTCTTCCCTGATTCTCACCTTCTCTCTGCGTTTTCAGACTTATATATTTATTTATAGTATAGCATTTGTAAATTCTGAACGCTGATTGGCTGAGAGCCGTGTTGATATAACTCGTCAACATGGGAAATTTTCCGCAGCTTGTAAACACGGAAATTTTTCTTATCCTTCGGGCTTTTGACATTGCTATATTATAAAAAAATATAAAACATTTTTTCCGTATTGATATATAGTTATATCAACACTTGTGGAAGTTGGGAAAACTCGAAATTGTTGAAAACACTCCGCCCTTTGGGCGTCGTGTTTCCATACAATTTCTCGTTTTCCCAAGTCCACTCGTGTTGATATTTAACAAATATAAAACATTTTCCGTGTTTAAATAGACACACGTGCGTTGAAATATTATTTAAGCTATGACTTTATACAAGGCCTACATTTGTTTGTATTTTTGTCATTTTTATTGACCGAAATGGCGAAAGGTTATTATCACGCTAAAAGTTTCCCTTCCATCGGTGCTTATGTGTGAGAAACGATCAACTTGCTATTACGTATATTAAAGAATTGTAAGTGATCCTAAAGTAAACGCAAACTTTTAACGAGTGATAAAAATTATCCTTTTCAACTTCATAAGTAAAGTTTGTAAAATCAAGGAAGCCAATCAACTGTTGTTACACTATTAATATTGACCAAAAGCCGGACAAAGCCCAAAGGTCATGTTTTCAATAACAAACAAAGTCAGATAGCCATTTATTGTCAACAAATAGCAAGGTTTGATTTCTTCTTTTCGGGCAAATATTTGTTAATTTGAGACTGATATCAGTTCGTAATTTATAGTAGGAATCGGCAAGTCAGAATATTATTAAAAAGCATGTTTTACGCAATAATTTTTCCAGCAATAATTTCATCCCCCCCCCGGTAATTTTTTCTCTCGAATTTTTAACAAATTAAGAATTTTTAGTGTTCCGGTGTTCCGGGTTTTACTAATAGCCAGTTTTTATAGGCTATTAGTAAAACCAGGAACACCGGAACACCGGAATAGCATCATTCCGGAACACGGAACACTAAAAATTCTTAATTTGTTAAAAATTCGGAAAAAAAATACCAGGGTGTGTGAAAATATTGCTGCAATAATTATTGCGTAAAACGTGCCTTTCTGACCGATAGCTACTAATAACGAACAGAAATCCTCGCAGAAATCAGTCTCAAAGTAATAAATATTTGCCCGAAAAATAGAAATCAAACCTAGAATTGTTATTTGTTGAGAATATTGAATGGCCCATCTTTGTTTGTTGTTGAAAGCATGACAATCAAAATATTAAAGTAACAACAGTTGATTGGCTTCCTTGTTTTTACCGACTTAGTCTTAGCTACTCTTGAAGTGCAAAAGGATATTAAATTTTCAATTCTTGTTCAAAGTTGGTATTTAGCATTACTTTAATACAGACAGTTCTTTAATATTGATCCTTTCTCACACGAAATATTTTATAAGCGGCGATGGATAAAAAAACTTGCGCGTGATAATATAAACCTTTTTCGCTCAATTAAAATGACAAAATACAAACAAAATATAATTATAGACCATGTATTAAGTTGTATATATAAATGATGTTTCAACGCATGCATGTGTGTCTAAAGTGTGTCTATTCGTTCATGTTTAAACTGTAAATTAAACTGACACTCAGTGGACAGTGAAGGAATTTTAATAGTACGAGTAAAAATCCTACGACTCTATCCACGTTTTCGCTCCAGTTTTCGCTTGCTCTGAGATTCATTGTTGGCCGTCTATAATATGGCATAGCATACCGAGCATACTAGAGTAGTAATGATAAACAAAGTACGAAAAAAAATGGGGGGTGTGTGAACCAACTTGATTTAACTGGAGCTTTGAATGAAAAGTGAAAGTATCGCGGGCGCCGATGACCGCATCTGCTGACTGTACGGACGGGGGGGATAAATACAAGGGGGCGTTCCCCTTGCGAGACGACGCTCGCCGTGTTCGTGATTGACAGGTGACGTGCGTGACGTCACGTGCGCATGCGTGGCGGAGCTCCGAACCCGAAGCCCTGGTCGACCGAAGTGGCGTCCGTTCGAATTTGCCGCCGTTTTTCAAGTGTGTGTATGACGTCAATAAATTTCCGTCGTGCTACCACATGCGATCTACGTATTTCGGTGTTTCCCTTTGGAAAATGGCGTTTTTTCAACAATTATTAATACATGGTTGTAAATTTTTAAAACAATATCAATATCTAATAGCGTTTTTTAATATTTTAAAAAATGCCACTAGCGTTTTTCAACATAACAACGGTCGTTAAGCATTGTTTTATATAAAATCAATTTTTATTAATAATATTTACAGAAAAAAGTTATTCAAGGGTATAAATCGTAAAATGTTGTGATAAAAATGTTATTTATGAACTAGAGTCACTACTATTTTGTTTTTTAGATAATGTATATAATACATATTCGGCAGCGTTGATTTTTTCTAAAAGTTCACGTTTTTCTTGGATAATTTTTAACGCTTCCGTACGTACGTCGGCGAACAGTTCGTATGTTTGATATTCGCGATTTGTATTTACGACGATATCTTCGGATAGTTTTGTTAAAATTCGTCGACTTTTCTTGCACTTGCCACGCGTATCGGGAAGCGTAAGTTGCTTTCGTGTCAACTGCAAAGCCATCATATCGTTGAATTCCTCGTCCATTCGAATAAGTTGCTGATCGTTTGTGGGCCGACCACATTCACGCTTTCGTTTTCTTGCTGGTGTTTTCTTCTCTTTTTTTTCCTCTTCAAACGATTTTCTTGCTGCAGCAATATCCTTACCGCGATTTACTTTTACAGGCGCAGTGTATACTTGCTGTATATGCTGCGGCTCCACTTGGGGTATATTTTGCTTTTCCACGTTGTTAGATATCATACCTTCAAGATATGTAGTAAGGGCTGGAAATATGGCTTCGTCGGGTTCGGGTTGGGATGATTTCTCTTCTTCAATAATAATGGTTTCGTTCTGTTCATCGGGTTGTGGTGTCTCAAGCGTGAATGCGCTAAACTGACCTTCAACGATGTTAACATGTTTTTTCAACTTTGCTAATTTAACAGGTAGCTGTGGAAAGTCGACGGTTAAAATTTTACTCGGCGAGGGTGTTAAAATCTGCGGTGGTGATGTTTGATATGGGTAGGGATGGATTTGTTGCGGTGAAGTTTGGGGTTGAGATGTCGCAGTATTCACTTGTGGTTGCGGCGGAGTTTGGTGTTGTGGTGACGGTTGATATGGGTAGGAATTGATTTGTTGCGATGGAGTTTGGGGTTGAGATGTCACAGTATTCACTTGGGATTGCGGTGGAGTTTGGTACTGGGTTGTTGTGTTTACTTGCTTTGTTGAAGCATCATTCGCCGTATTAATTTTCCCGTTTAGTTGCCATTTTATGAAATTTAATTCAAAAATGTTAGAGGGGAATTCGGCTGCGTAGGCTGTGAAATTCCAATAGTCTGCTAGTAGCGGTGTTAAATTCGTAGTGTCGGTGATGGTTATTCCTGACAGTTCTAGAAATTTGTAAAAAGCTGGCTCCATTTTTTCGCAGATGTTGGTTTTTGCTGCTTCGTGTACGAGTAGTTGTAGTAAAATGTGTTAAAATTATATTCGCTAGGTTTCAAGTGTAAACGATGTGTCTAAATATGGTCAGGGTGTTTCTAACCTTGTGACCATATTTGGCAAGGTAGATTTTGCGAGAACAAAAATATGTTGATGTGTGTTTATTTGCACCTAGCAACAGGTAAATAAAAGAAAAAGCGTATGACTATATATGGACGTGGGGGTATATTGTGTTTATAGCGTGTTTTATTTTTAGCGTCTAGAAAATATATTTTCATTATATATGCGTATACCCATATATGTACATGTTAGTTAATAGCTGGTGTGTGCTATGATGAGGGTTCTTATAAGAGTGATTTTAAATAGTCTACAACGTATATTTGCTAGTGAAATGAGTTTTGCTTATAAGCTTTTACTCTCATTGGTGTTATTATCTTTTTTAACGTATTTAATTATTATTATTTATTACACGGATGTATCTATAAAAGATATAGAAGGTGTATTGCGTGAGACATATAGCTGTACAGATGAATATGTCGAGGTATGATTGTTTTTGCCATAGATTATTTTGCCAATTGAAAAATTGGAATAAACGCGAGGAGAGTGTTACAATTTATCATAGAGGTTATCTTTTTGAACGTGTCGATGCGTATGTTTGTCCATCTCCCGATTATAAACGTTGTTATATGAGCGTTGTTTTACAAAATCGAAGATGTCTTATAAGAGAGTCTAAGATGGAATTAAAATATAATTGTCAAGAAAGAGACGGTTGCTTCGATATACAGTTTTTATTTCCGGGTCATTTATGCGGTATTTTTCATGAAGAATGTTATAGGGCTGTACAACAATATTATAAGGATGCTAGCAAGTGTAGTGTGGAGGGTATTTGCAGGACTATTTTTGAACGTTGTCGGGGTGTTTTGGTTAGCGAGATGTTAATAAAACAACAAGTGGAGTATTATAAAGAGACGAGTAATTATACACTTATGGAACTGGATGATGCGGGTAAAGCCAGACCGCAAGAATAATAGAAAAAAATTTTGTTTATGTTTTAGTTATGATGAGAAAAAAGATATTTATGTTAATCTACCGTGTGATACAGTTCTTGATGATGAACCACTAAAAGTATTACAGATTATAGCTAGTGATTATAAGTTTTTTGAATTTTACATTCATGTGCTCGAGAGCAAAAACTGCAGTTAGCGGGTGGTCGTTTATGGCCGACTGTAATTACAAAGGATGTTGTGAAATCGATGCCGAGTTTTTATATTTATCTTATAGCGGTAACTCAATGTGAGGATGGTGATCGATATATAACAATTGGAATTTTACACTGGTTGTTTGGGATTTATACAGAATTGGAGATTTATTATCGCATCTATCCTGAATTGTTTAAACCTGAATTTGGACGTAAAAATACACCGATCTTTTTACCGTGTGTGACGTTTGAAAGTATTGATTTTAAATTGGATTATCTCGAGCAACAGCAGTTAACACCTAGTGAAGCGAAAAGTTTCGTGGCCGGGGTGGTCGATACGTTGATTACATTTATAAGCGAAAAAACAAATTGTGAGAGAGATTTTCAGAGTGTATCAAAACTAGCCGCCGAGTTTGAAAAGGAGCATGGGATGTGTGTATCAAAACGTTTGATGCAAGTTATGTTATATCAAAAATTGGTTTACCACGTACAGGATTGGGTGATAAAGAGTTGCGGGTGTGCACGAAACGACCAAATTTGCCATTGTGGATTGTACACGAAACTTGATATCGTGAAGTGTAAAAAATTGTACTTTCAAGACGCGGGATTATTGGTTAGCGATGCTGTGTACTTTACCTCCCCGAGATAAATATGGTTGGATATTATATCGTTATTTGGAAGCGTGTAATTTTAATAAATACGGGGAAATGCGTGAACTATCATTATTGGCCTACGATCAATTATATTCAAATGTTCTGTATTGGACATATGTAACAGAAATTCATAAAACCCATCATGGTTATTTGTATCGAATGACATTTCGAACATTAAACGGTTTCGCACATGTTCATATGACATTTGATTTAAAATATTTACCGACTATAAATAGTAGAGGACATGTTATGTATGATACGATGGGTGTTCAAAATATGGGTATACAAAAATGTTTAGAATCGCTGATTGTTAATAATTTTTTAGAGACACAATATGAGATAATTTTACAAAACATTATGAAATATATTAGAGAACATGTTAAGTTTTATTACACTGTAGAGTATAAAATAGATGAACATATTCATAAAATACGTGCGGATATAGCTAGGATATATAAGACTGTAGTGTCTCCGGATTTTATACGTGGAATGCATGATAATGTAAAGAGTATGTTAAGAAATATGTATTGGCTAGATAGCTGTATTTGTTTGTGTAGGGTTAGCAATAATTGTTGTATGTGTAAAAAGACAAATTTGCACTTTGTAAGCTTACAATGTCAACGTATAATGTTAGATTTTTAAATAAAAAAAATACAAAAAAACAGTGTGTCTCTGAAAGGTTTGCGTTAGTTGTCTATTCATATTATGCGAGTATGGAGGGGTTATTTCAAAGAAAGCATAATCGATTGTCGTATGAAGAAGCGGTTATGGTTGAAAAAAACAGAAAAGAAATAGCGTGTCGTATTACACACGTGATTGATTGTGAAGCGTATACATGTAAGAAAAAAACATTTCTTCGTGAAATATCGGTCTATCGGGTAAAGACCGGCGAGTGTTCCTCGTTTCAAGTGTTTATGCCGTTTGTACCGTTTAATGAACGCAACTATACAATTGACTATCAAATAAAGAAAATTCACGGTCTACCGATTGTACGTAAACGTTTAACGGATGATTTTTATACATTGAAAGAATCAATAGCATTTTTAACCGATGAATTTATGTGTAATGCAGATTTAGTGGCTTATAAAGGCGGTGATATTGAACGTATTTTGTTAAATAATATGGGTGTGCGTTGTATTAATCTTGAAGTATTGACATGTCCAAAATACATAGATCTGTTGACCATATTTGGTCAACAGCAAGAATGTTGCCCTTATCACCTGGGTAACCATTATCATTGTTCAAAACATGAGGTAAAAATGTTTGCAAAATTTGTGTATTTGCTATTGTGACGATGTCGGATGCACTAGAAGCATTATCGTATCTTTTAATGAAACAACCATATAATCCAATTTTATGGAATTTGTATGCGACATGTACGTATTTACGATATTATAAACCCGTACTCGATGTTCAAGACAGAAAAATAAATGATTATGTTAAAGTTAAAGAGTTCTGGTTAAAAGGCGGTTTTGAGACCGTACGCAATTTCATCGCTGTAGACGATGAAATGGATGCGTGTGAAACGGTGGAAAGCGACAACCCCGGCACACCCAACGTTACGCGATCAAAATATCCACGTATGGCGGTCGTCGGTGTCGATAGTGAAGCGGGGAAACAATTCTATAGCATACCGGTGGAATGGATACCACGACTGGCGGTTCGTGAGGATGGTATGTTTGTGTTAAAATCGTTCGAGTTTTGCTGTCGTGAAATTCTGGTACGTTCAACGACACAGCTGGTACGTTGTCAGTCCCTAACAGTAGCCGATAAATATCATGTAGATAAACATTATTTTCATGTGGGTTGCGGTGAATGTGGTGAAGAGAATTCTCAAATTGAAGTATTTGCTGCCACACACTTGTATGTGGGGTTAAAAAGTATTATGCGACATTTTGACACTGGACTATATGTGAACATGTCGGAAATGCTGATGGCTCTTGAATGTAATGAGGAAAAATTAACATTTTATCATAAAGAAGTATGTTATGAAGAATCGTGTATAATTGTCACATATACCCCTGTATTTAAAAAGGGTACGTATATTCGTAAATATCTTGCACATATTGTAGTATGTAAAAAGTGTGTCCGATATCTTGAAGATTTTTTAACCTTGTTAGATCAGAGTGTGGAAAATCATCCCTTTGCCACATATGACGACGTGGATTGCGATGGGTATAACCATCTGGCCTTACCTGTTCTGAAATATATATTAGATGCTGATTTTGATAGTTTAGCGTCGAAAGCATATTATGGGGTTATAGATGGACAGCATTTAGAAGGGCCTTGTAGCTATGTGGATTTGTTTATGAATACGTATGTTGAAAAACATGTTTGATTTTAAGAGAATATTTTATCAGCTGTTACAATTAAAAAATTTGTACGTATTAAAATATGACGGTGTAATAATAGGGTATGCCCTTATAAGGTCATCATATAATTTGCTTCAATTTGCACAATTTTTTAATGTGTGTCATTTAAAACAGCAGCATTATACGGATTTTATTCACTCTCTAAAATTTTCAATAACAATACGACAAAACGAAGATATCGTTCTAGCTCTTGTGGGAACATAATGGCAACGTCAACGAAAACACATTATTTTGAAACATTCGCAAATGAAATTAGAGTTGTTGATTTTTTGAAAAAAATGTTAGACGATGGTGAGATGACACCTATTATCGTTATATCGCTTTAACCGGCGACCATTTTTGGTATTCTGAAAGACAGGAATACAGTATCAGAAAGGAAACGGCTGTGGCGAGTAGAAAATTGCATGGGATTATACAATTTAAGGAACGCGTCAGTCCTAAAACGGTACGTCAGATGTTCGAAGGTCAACGCATTTTTTTGTCTGCATTGGTTACCGCGAGAAGACCAATTGTAGTAATATTGATGCGGTTGTGGGTGCTTTGCGAATGTCGCGGTCGACATTACAGCGAAACAAAATGTTCTAATACACCCATTGGTTTTGGTGGTCGAAAAACGGAAAATGAAGTACATTATATGAAACCTTATATTAAAGCATTATTACATTATAAAGAGTGCGATAACGATGATTTTTGTTACAATAATTTAAACGGTGCAAGACAAATATGTAAATATAAAGTTATGTTAGAAAAGAAACTGCAAAAAACGAACATGACCATATAAGGACATCAACATTATATATATCTGTAGGTGTAGTTTTAGTTTTTTAGTTGTGATGATGTTGTCTATGCGACAACATCTATTATGGCGTAGTGTAAAATTTAAAAAAATGAAATAAATGAAAATTAATCAATCAATCAATCAAAATTATGAATATTTGCAGTTTGCATTTATTCGTGTATAAACGTGTAAAGTTTAAAAAAACTATGCTGGAGTTATATGCGTTTTTTAATAAATTATAAATAGGGGGTGTGATGGAATCAATGTTTAGTAGCGGTAAGCGAGTGGGTAAAAAAGCAAGTCACGAACGAGGTTGAATCCTAAAAGAGAACCCGAGAAAAAAACTTGTAGAACACGTCGTATAACGCATCAGTGGAATAAAAAAAACACGTCGTTTATATGCATCGGTGATAATACAAGACAACTAAGAAGATATAATAGACTGAATAAAAGGTATGTAAAATTTTTTATTGATGATATTGATAGACTACAGGCATATGATTAATAGGTTTTCTTGTACGACGGCTTTCTTGTAAACGACCTCCTTCTTGTACTACTCTGCGTGTTGATGATTTATGTTTTTGCATTATTGCTCTTGCATTGAGACGTCTTGTTTTTGCTTTTGCACGTTTTGCTTTTTTCATCTGACGTGCTGCAAATCTTTTCCCCCCCATTACAGCATCTGTAACGGCACGCTGTAATAGGTCGCCAGGGTTTGCGACAATAGGGGCAGTCGGCAGTCCTGCACCCCTTTGATTATTTCTGCGAATCCTTTGTGGTCTACCCGCATAGGGGTTAATACCAAGATTTATTCTTCGATCCCAAACAGCATTGTGAGACATTGTTATTGGTAGCGGGTTATGAAATATGAAATGGTTTCTAATAATTACAAATGTTTTTATAACCAATAGTTTTCACCATAGTTTGTAAAAATTTCTGAATGCGGTGGTATGCTTTGTGAGGATTTTAATCGAAACATTTGATTTCCACGCATGTTGCTATTATAACGAAATTTGGAATTTCTAGCATCGTTTGCAAATCGAGCCGCCGCATCAGTTGTATGATTTGCGTCAATGCATAAGCCTTTCCGATTACATATGGTATATTTTGCCGTATTATTCCCATATTTTTTATCAATTTGTTCACGAGTACGTCGACGCCCTGTGTATTTTGAAATTACACGACCTGCGGGTATGGTTTTTTTCCCAGCTAAATAACCCTTTTCCAGCATTTGAAATTTGGGAGGGTTTAATTCGTAGATTATCTTGTTTTGCTAAATGGATCCAACATTTAGGTGTATGTGCGGTGCGTTTACGGCATCGTTTTTGTAATAATGTGTCGCTAATACACTGTTTTGATTTTCGAATACTTTGCTGATATTGTTTTTTTCTTAAATTGGTTACAAATCGACCGCTCATTCTGCATATACAATAGTTACACCGATATAGTCGTTGTCCCAATGTCGCTCGATATATTTTATGATATTTTCAATTTTAGTTACCACATCTGGAGGTACTTCTGATTCAAATTGAAACAGCCGCAATCTGTAACGTAACGTCTCCGGATCCACTTTATATATATGATCTGAATCGTAGGTGAAAGCCGCAAACGCTTCTTGAAATATGGTAGGTGTAAAAATGATAGATTCATCATTGTCGCATACCTCGTACCCTATTTTATATAGGTCGTAATCACCACGATGCGATTCATTTTTCACATGTACAGAGATATGTATTTCAAATTTACGACTCATTCTTGATTTGAATGTTGCTTGTTCAACACGTGTGATTGAAATGGGTCAAAAGTGTTTTAAAGGGGGTGAAGATACACCGTGGGTAACATTTAATTGTAATATGGTACAAATTCGTGAAAGTCATAATGTTGCGATGGATTTTACAGATGGTGGCAACGAAGACGACAATATAAAAGTAACGAATTGTTGTTGTATTCAATGGCGTCGAAGAGTGGTGAAAAAAGACAACGCGAGGAAGACGTCGAAAACGTCGAAAATAAAAAACAAAAAGGAGAGATGGGAGAAGCCGTAAAAAAACGGACCATTGCATTGGTGAGAAAATTATTTAATGAAAAAGATAGAGAGAAACGGGAACAAAATATTGCAACAATTGCACAAATGGTTGTCGCTAGAAATGATAAACAATCGCAAATAAATAAACTAGCTGAAATGGTTAAGAAAACAAAAACTTTATATAAAGGGAAACGTAGTTATAATATAGAGGATCGCGATCTGATAGAGTTAGCCGCACTTGTGCAATCGCATACGAATGTTACCGTTCCAACGAAAGCTTTTTCGGTGCGTCAAATACGCACCCATCAACGTTTCGGTTATACCGAATATATATGATGTAAATGTGGGTAGTAATCATATGGGGAGTTTACCTGATTTTTTGATAAATCTACGATGTGTATTTGATTATTTAATAAATACCATGTTGTATCATGCTCAGACGAATACGGATAAGGCTAGATTTTTTATCTCGAATGCCCCCGTACCCCTTTTTCTACAAGCGTATTGACCGTTACGGATTTTACAACCGACATGTTTTTTAATATTTTCGAAAAACACATGCAAAGTAATGCAGAAGAGATTATAAATAATGGCTGGAATACGACCATCAGTTTGTACATTTTTCCAAATAATTATGTTTCGCGTAAGAAAACGTCACGGGTAAAAAAGAAAACAAAACAAAATAAATTATATAAATATTTTGGTAAAAACACCACAGAGTCTGGTAGCGGTAAAAAAAATAACCCGGCGTTAAAACATGGTCGCGAAGTGCGTCATGGCGTTTTTCAAATCGGTGTTTCAAATGTTAAAAATTGTTGTCTGGCTCTGGCGCTTCTAGTGGGTAAATCTTATCTGCACAACGATTCTGACGCACACAAACTGAAACGTAACAGTCACATACCTCTAAGTAGCATATATACAGACGACGCTATTACAAACGTGTATACGGTTAGCCAATTACCCGTCGGCACTCCCGTACGTATTGATCAATTAGCTACCGTGTATGAGAAATATTTGAAATCCGACGGGATAGATTTGGTTGTTTTTTCTAAACAACAAGCCGACAGTATTGTATACGATTCACGATTAGATGCGGATCAACACCTCCATCGTGTTACAAACGACGTTATTTTTTTATGGTTAAATGATAATCATTATGATTTAGTGACCTCGCCGTACACGTTTTCACGTTTAAATTTGGGAACGTTTTGTTTTTCCTGCATGTGCTATTTGCGTCGACACGAACGAAGGAACACGCACGTATGTGTCTTAAGTACGACCTGTCATCGCTGCTATAGTAACACACGGAAATGTGAACACGTGTCTGGTTTTGTACAACAGTGCACGGAATGTGATGTTATTTTTTACAATCCCGATTGTTTTACCAAACATTTAACACAAAGAGTGTTTAAAACCTATATCAATGGCACGTTAACAACTGAGACGACGTGCCAACGTTTTTTTTTTTGTGCCGTATGTTATAAAACAGTAATGCGTAAATCCATCACAACGGCCGGGAAAAAGTATACAAAGCACAAATGTGACGAGATGTTTTGCACACATTGTAATAAAATGAAAAAAAAAGATCACCATTGCTATATTAAAACCGTTAAGCAGCATAAAAATGAATCACGACCCACTTTGTATTTCTATGATTTTGAAACGCGTGTGGATGAGGGTGATATTTATATGATACCCTTTTATTGCGTTGTGCAAAAAGTATGCGATGCTTGTGACGAAAAACCGTTTGTGAAAAATTATGAACATTTTCTACCCCATCCTAGTGAGTCGTTTACCGATATTTCAGTTGAACCGGTACCCTGCTGCGGTTATAGACAATATGTTTTTGAAAAAAACAATGATGATATCGTGTCGGATTTGCTCGACTTCATGATGACGCAACCTAAAAATAGTGTGTGGGTGGCACATAATGGCGGACGATTTGATAGTATTTTTCTAATGCGTGAATTGCTAGTCCATCGTAAACTCGTACCCACTGTGGTAATGAACGGAAGTAAGGTTATGTCTTTAGAAATACAAGAGCGTAATTTGAAAGTAATTGATAGCTATTTATTTCTTGCAATGCGGTTGGCAAAATTTCCCGAGGCTTTAGGGCTTAAAAACGTAACGAAAGGGTACCACCCCTATTTGTTTACCGATTTGAATTATGTCGGCAACATGGTCGGCTTAGAATATTTTGAATTACCCACAGAGGGAAGTGATGAACGCGAAGCTTTTGACAAATGGTATAGACAACAACAAAGCAAAACGTACGTGTTTCGTGACGCGATCTATTATTATTGTCGTATGGATGTGGATATTTTAAGACAGGGTTGTATCATATTCTCTAGACTCATCTATCGAATTACGGGTGTATTACCCTTTTATGATCACACTTGTCATACCGTGGCAGGTTTAGCTTTAAAAATATATCGAAAAAATTTTTTAAAAGAAGAACAAATCGGTCAGGTTCCCGCATCCGGTTACAGCGGTGTAAATATTAACCAAAGCGCAATCGCCTTATGTTGGTTAAAGGATGTCGAAACTATGCTGGATGAAAACGGTCTAAAATTGTGTAGTAAGCTTAGTGTCGGAGGTGAACGACGTATAATGAACCATTATGTTGACGGGTATTGTGAAGAGACCAAAACCATTTATCAATTTCACGGCTGCTTTTATCACGGTTGCGATTGTTGTTATGATGATGCATGTTACAACAGTATTTTATGTACAAAATTTTACACACTTTTGGGTAGCACACAACGTTTATCGCGAATGTTTCGACAAGCAGGATATACCGTTGTTGAAAAATGGGAATGTGATTATCGTAACGATGTCGACATGACACCCTATCGTTTAAAACAAATACGTTTAACAATGTTTTTTGAATTCATACATTTGGAACCACGTGATGCTTTGTTTGGGGGGCGTACATCGCCCGCCACATTATATTATGACATGCAGCATACGGGTTTACCCGCCATGTATTTCGACGTATGCTCTCTTTACCCGTATGTGCAGAAAAAATTTCAATATCCGACACAACATCCGGTTATTGTTAAAGGTCGCGAATGTCAAAATATGGACATCAATCAAGTGTTTGGTTTAATTAAGTGTAAAATTTTACCACCCACACACCTATTGTTTCCTGTGCTACCGTTTCGTTCGGATAAATTAACATTTCCCTTGTGTTGCACTTGTGTACAACGTCAACAAAGTGAAACATGTCACCACAATGACGAGCAACGTGCATTATACGGGACATGGACTAGTGTGGAAATTCAAAAAGCTTTAGAATTAGATTACCGCATTTTAATTGTTTATGAAATTTATCATTATCACAAACGCGAAAAAATATTCGATCAATATGTGAATACGTTTATGAAACTTAAGCAAGAAAGTAGCGGGGTACCCAAAAAATGTCTCGACCAAAACGGTTCGGTGATAAAAGAAAAATTACAAAAATATATTGACGATTATATGGCACATGAGGGCGTCACCTTGGACGCGAGTAAAATGTCCTACAATGTCAGGCAGAGAACGGTAATGAAAGCGCTATTGAACTCTTTGTGGGGTAAATTGGCACAAAACGAAGATGTTACGGTCGTATCGTTTTTAGATGACATGGACGATTTGTTAGAATTAGTAAATGATCGTACGGTCGAAGTGACCTCTTTAGATTTTATAAGCGACAATATTGCACGAACAACACATCGAAAAATGGCAAGTCTAACGCCGTTACCGAATCGTAATGTGATTATCACATCATTTGTCACAGCGTATGCACGTTTAGAATTATTAGAGTATTTACTTAAATTAGGCGAAAATGTTTTGTACTACGATACCGATTCTGTGATTTTTATAGAGGATCGTGTGAACGGTAAATTTCTTGAAACCGGCGAATATTTGGGGCAAATGACGGATGAATTAATTGAAAAAAAAACCAGCGCAAAATGGATTACACAATTTTGCTCGGCCGGACCCAAATCCTATTCTTATCGCACGAATACCTATACGCGTTATAATGACGACGGCAGCGAAAGCAAACAACAAGATGAAATTAGAAAATTAAACGAGACTTACCTGGAAGTTGAAGTTTGATTGGAATTCTATCAACCATCTACAAAGCAGAGATTACACGAGATACTACGCATGCGCACAGCTGGTCATATTTTAAAGTGATTAGTGGCCACATGAGAACCTGTGAATGTGCATATACACCATATGCAGGGAGGTGATGGAATAATGGGAGGGCGTGTAATCTCTGCTTTGTAGATGGTTGATAGAATTCCAATCAAACTTCAACTTCCAGGTAAGTCTCGTTTAATTTTCTAATTCTATCAACATCTACCGCAGAGATTCCACGAGATTTTAAAGCCATGTGGGCACTAAATAAGTACTTCAGCAGTATGCATAGCTAATATTTGCATATTACAACACTAATACATATATACTTCAAGTATATAGATGTAATATGAACCAAAACAGTTGCTTTACATTTTTCTGTTGCTAGAATCCTCAAGTTTGAAAATTAACAAAACAGGAACCAAATAGTGCTAAACTTCTAGTGTCTTGTCCTTACGTGACATCCGATAGTATAGCATTCCCAAAATCTGTATATTCTCGGTGAGATTCAATGTCTTTATTATAGAAGCGATGAAATACACAATCACTTTTCCAACTTGCAGCCTTGAGGATTGAATTTATCGGAACATCACAGCTGGCAGCCTTACTGGTTGATGCTGCTCGTGTACTATGAGGTTTGAATACACTTGTGTCAATCCCTGCAGCTTTCATTACAATCTTTATCCACCGAGAGATAGAGGCTTTTGACACTTTCTTGTGCGGTCGAATCGAACTAATGAACAGTTGGGTTTCATTGTTCCGAAGGGGCGCTGTACGCTTAATATATTCCTCAAGAGTTGAAGCTACACACAAGCTGTGGTCAGATGGATATCTTGGGATTACGAGAGAAGGTTGGTCCCGAGTCGGTGCCGACTGTTTCACTAGTTTATCAATGTGAAAAACATAGGAATCATTGTTCTTGCAGAGGGTTGAAAGGTCCATAAGGTGGAGGGTTTGTGATCTCTGCCCCGTAACTAAGGCACAGAGCATAACTAGTTTATGAGTAAGCTGCTGTAAAGTGAGTTCCTCTACTGGATGAAGTGTTTTGAGGTACGATAGTACAATTGAAGTATCCCATGTGTTCCGATATCGGGGTAGTGCAGGTCTAGCCTGAAAAACTCCTTTCATGAATCTTTGTATCATTGGGTGTGTACCAACAGATAAGTTTCCCTCCCAGACCACAAATGATGACAATGTACTCCGTGCAGTATTTATGCCACTATAGCTAAACCCCTGGTCAAAAAGTGCCTGTAGGAACTCCAGCACCTCAATCAGAGTTGGATGAAGGGGATCTGCATTCCACTGATTAGCAAATGACTGCCACTTGTTGAGAAAGACTTGGTATTGTTTTTGTGTTCCAGACCGCCAGGAGTTGAGTATTGTTGCTTGAGCTTTTGATGAAATGCCCTTACTTGACAGGGATCGCCGGATAAGAGACAGGCCATCAGCTTCAGTTGTTTCCCCAGCGGGTGTTCTTTTTCTTGCTTGAAAGGAAGAGACACATTGCTCTTGTGTTTCGGTAGAAGGATTGGTTGTTGGATCAACAACCTTGTCAACATAGGGTACCATGGCTGGGTTGGCCAATTTGGCACAATTAGGATTGCTTGTGTCTGAGCTGTATCCAGTTTTTGCAATACTTGTGGTATAATGCTGAAAGGTGGAAAGGCATAAAAGAATATATTATTCCAGTCCAAAGTAAAGGCATCAATAGCCCATGCTTGAGGGTCAGGATGCCATGAAACGAATGGTGTCATTTGGTAGTTAAGTCTGGAAGCAAACATGTCCACTTCAGGGGTACCAAAGTGTGCTGTTAGCTTTGGAAATATGTTAGCATCCAGTTTCCATTCTGTAGAATCATCAAACACCCTGGAGGCCTTGTCGGCAACAACATTAAGTTTCCCAGGAATATGGCTGGCAGTGAGCCAAATATTCCTGGTCATGCACCATGCCCATACTTCTCTGGCCATGTCATTGCATAAAAAAGAGCGAGAGCCCCCCATATTGTTAATGTAGGCAACAGCAGTTGTATTATCTGTCATGACTTTGACATGGGCATTTGATATTTCCCTACAAAGTGATTGCAGACCAAACAGAACAGCTCGTAATTCTAGGTAATTTATATGGTGGTCTTTCTCTACTGTAGACCATTCACCCCCTGTAGTTACATTAGCCATGTTAGCCCCCCATCCTTTGGTGGAGGCATCAGTGTAAAGCACATGGCCAATTTTCCCATGATCCAGCCGCTTTGTGAACAAGCGTGCATTTTCTACCCACCATAACATATCTTGGTGTGCTTTAGGGGAGAGGGTCATGTGCTTATCAAAGTCGCCTTGGTTTACTTTAAGTGCAGCTGTCTTTTCCCTATCAATTTGACGATAAAACAATGTCCCATATTCCACCCCTGGGCAGCATGCTACCATCATGCCAATCATCTGTGCCACTGCTCTTATACTACACATGTTTTGTTTAAGAACAGAAATAATAACCCCACATAGTTTATTGTGTTTTTCTTCCGAAATAGATATTGTCATCTCAATTGAATTCAACACAAACCCTAGGTGTTGAATGATTTGTGTTGGTGTGATCACAGATTTATCATCATGGGTTAGGAATCCCAATTCATGAAAACACTGCAAGGTGTCATCGACATTCAGTTGACATTCTGAATTAGAATACCCTACTAAGAAGGAATCATCAATGTAACCACTTGAAATGTGCCCCTTCCCCCTAAGATGGGAGAAAACAGGTTTCATAAGCTTTGCAACCAGGCGTGGGGCTGATGACAATCCTTGGGCCAAACAGGTGAATTGATATAGTCTCCCCTTCCATGTAAACTTGAGGAATTTTTGATGTTGCTTAGCAACAGGTACTAAGTAATAAGCATCCTTCAGGTCGATAGATGCCATGTAACACCCAGGACGCATGAGTTGGGTGCATGTATGGATGGACTCCATTTTAAAATGGTGATGCATCACAAATTTGTTAAGCTCTCTAAGGTTCAATATCATTCGAAACGACCCATCTTTCTTTGGTCGAAGAAAGATATTAGATATGAATTCCCCCTGTTCATGAGAGCTTTCAATGATAAAGCCCTTTTTTAGGAATTTGTGTATTTGCGAATCAACCTGTTCGGTCTCTTGTGTGCTCATTTTAATAGGTTTAGGTATTACAAGCTGTACCGGGTTGACCATAAACTCTATCAGGTACCCAGTAACAGCAGAGAGAATTACAGGATCACTAGTAAGCTCTTTCCATTTCTCTACGAAATGTTGTATGCGGCCTGCAACTGAACAGCCCCCCTTTGTCTGAGGTAGAGAACTGGGCAAATTTTGCTTACTATAATAATTAGTACTTACACTTTGATTGGTGGGGTTTATTTCTGTGTCACAGATTTCCCCCCTGTCCTGAATGTGTCTGTTCGTCTCCGGTGCTGAAATTTTCCCCGGGGTCGGCCCTGAGACTGGCCGCCCCGTCGTTGGAATAAAAAATGAGCATTGGAGGTATTTGAGGTGCCTGGGCGAGGAGCAAATGTGTGTTTCCGCTTCTGGCTTGTCAACTGCTGGGCAGCCTTTTTACTTTCTTTCACCGTCTTTAGCCGTTCAGTCAAATCATCACCGAACAACTCGGCTGCAACAGGTTCTTTGCTGCTGCAGATTGCCTTGTAATTTTCATCAAGGTCTGCTTTGAACAAGTCTCTACGACACATGTTCAAATCATGATTGGCTGATGCAATAAGGAGGACAGAGGTTGACAACCCTTCCCAGAGTTCCTCTGGAGGTAGCACAGGTACTTTAGGGTCTTTACCCAAAGATTCACCAACTATCCCAGCAAATCGGGATATTGGAATGAGGCCTTTTATTAAGGCCTCTTGCAATTTTTGCAGCCTGGCATCCATGCTACGCGTTGGTTTCCTTGCGATGTCCCAAATCTCGGGGTTCACTTTAGTAACACGTAAGAGGTTGCAGTTTTCTGGTCTTTTCACACTTTCTTTCCGTTTGGCTAATGCCTGCTCGTTCAGTCCCGAAGCTAAAATATTGTTAAGGATGGTGGAAATTTTTTCCGGTAATGCGTGGTCTGTAGGTTCACTTTCAGTCACTTCGTGGACAAGGTCGTCTACCAGCGCACCGTTTTGGCTGGCAGGGAGCGAGTCAGTTGCTTCGTCATTCAGAAGGTCATCCTCGATTTCCCCTTCAGAAACACTAGCGCCGTCCTGTTGTTGCGCAGTATCATAAGCACCTTTGAGTTCTTTCACTACTGGAGCAAAGGAGTTGATTATCTCAGCGAGTTGAGTAACTTTATGACTGAGCTCCTCTAGAGTGACTTTGGCGCCATTTTCAGCCTCGGTGACAACATCACTGCTGATGGCGTGAACGGGTTTTATTACACTGGCAGCGCCAGCTTTCCCCGTTTTTCCCGACGTACGGGCCCGTTTTGCTCTCGGTTGCTCAATTTCTGTGAGTTCCCCTGATGTTCTCGGCTGCGCCGAGTCAGGGTCTGGCTCTGAAAGAAGTGCAGCTTCGGCTAGCATGTCGTCCAAAACATCATTCGATGCTGCCATGTTTATGAGCGAATAGCTGCAACCACAACAAAGAGTTTGCCTCGCAAACTCGGTGGTTTATTAATTGATGTTTTCCCTTATTACTTATATATTTAAAACAGTTCGTCTTCGCTAGATGTCATTCATTGACTAAGGATTATGTTTATGTATGACCAAACACGCCATGTAATGGCGGAGTGTGCATAGTAGAATGACCAGCTGTGCGCATGCGTAGTATCTCGTGGAATCTCTGCGGTAGATGTTGATAGAATTATGTTTAAATCGCTACTTATAACACGCGGTCGCCACTTATTATGTGAAATCGCGACTTATAATGCGCGATCTCGACTTATAACACGCGATCGCGACTTATTGAGGATGATTGCCGGGCGATTATATATTGCAAGTTGCAACATGTAATTATGTAAAGCCTTATTATTTGCATCCAAGATGGAGGAAAACGATGAGATTATGGATGACTTCCAGGAAGAAGACGTTGAACACGTAGGCGTTGGAAAGGTACAGCGTTATTAGTTGTTATCCAAATTGAATATTTTCTAGTATACGAAATAGGAATGCTTTCCTTTCTGACATAGGTTCTAAATTTCTTAAAATCAAGAAATGTAAGAGCAAGTGTGATCAGTCGATTTCGTACCGAAAAGGTATGTACTGTACTGTAAACGGCTGTAATTAAACACTGTAATTATTGATTAGAATAATCCTGACCAAACCTTATTCATTATTATATTAACCCCGAAGTTATTATTTTTATTTACAAATATTTCACTACGCTAACCCGCCAAACTCTGATTTTCAAATATATTATTTATTTATTTATTTACAAATATTTTAAAAAGGTAAGTAAGTCTGATTTTCAAGGGGCCGTTTCTATTTACAAAAATATTCATTCTAAAAAATTACTAAAAAATATATACACAAACAACACAATCATGCAAGTTTTATAAGTCGATAATATGCACAAGCCCACACTATATATATTTACTATATATCTATACACGCTATATACACTATATATCTATACCTGTATATATTGCATAATTATGAGGATAAAATACTGCTGATGGAACTCAGCATCTCCTGGCTATAGCTATGTCTCGCTGTATACTGAAATATGAAACATATATACTGCTTTCCAGAGGGTCCAGTAAATATTAAAGTGCTTTATTATCATATGAAACGTTTTATTATACCGTGTATAAATTCAGTTTTGGCTGCAATGCGATCTATTAAATCAATTATTGTTATTATTATTATTATTTATTTTTGAAATTTACTGAAAACTCAACTCTATAAAATACAACATGAAGCTATTTGTAAAGGAGTTCGAAGTCGAGGGGCATTTCACTCCAAAAAAGCGTACGGGATTTTCGGATTTTTAAAAATCCGCGGATTTTTTAGCGGATTTTTCCCGGATTTTTGAAGAAAAAATCTGTTGGATTTTCCGGATTTGTTCGGATTTTTTCCGGATTTTTTGACGAAGTGTACGGGATTTTTGAAGTGAAATGCCCCTCGTTCGAAGTCGCATTCACATGGCACTTCACGTGGCTTTTTAATTTTTTTTATTATTGATGGTCAACAAAAGTACGGTCGGTGTTACTAATACTAAAATGACCGTACTATAAATACTATTTTCTTAGGAACTTCAGCTAGCTCGGCTTTAGCTCAAGAGGTTAGGCATAAAACAATTTGCTCTACTCCCAGGGTTCAAGTCCGCTTCCGGATGTTTTTGTATTTTTCAGTAGCAATTTTACTTAAATTTTTTTTTCCTGACTACTTTTAACTTTTTTACTTGTACACGTTTAAAGGATTGGGTAAGGGTTGGGAGTAGGGTCAGTTTATTTTTTAAAAATTTAATTTAGCTCAGAGATTTAGCTATAAATTACAGACTTGGCTGTCGGTCAAATTATGACGTCATGGACATGGTCATGGTACGTTAGTTGGACATCATCTAACACCGACCCAAAAGTACTGTTGCTCGCTTATAGTTATTGCTAAGTGAACAGTAAAATTTCGTTACTCTCACGTGATGCATTTTCCACCAATGAGATGCTAGAAAAAGTGAACTTTGACAATTGTATCGTGCCACCTTAACCTGAGAGATTTTTGTATTTGATTGTCATATAAAGCTTAAGTAATTGTGACCTACTCTCAGACAGATGCAAAAACTCAGGACAAATGAACACAGACACAGTTGTAACCAGACTTTACATATCACAGATGGATATCTTTATAATATGTACAATTTTTGTACTAATGTTAAAACATTATTCTAGATGGACCCAGATGCAATATGCGGTGCTGACGATAAACTATTGGAAGATCTTGGCTTGTGCGCTAAAGGAGATATCTGTGCTTTGCGCTCATATTGCCAAGGATGGAACTCTTCAAGCACGCCCTCAGGATCATTTACGCAGACTCCTGAAAGCTGTAGACAAGAACGAAAGCGAAAGCTGATGGCTATTTTGCAGTCTGGCAAGAAAACTAGGCTGAAGCAAAACGTTGCAGAGACTAGTACTAAAAGTAAAAAACCCAACAATGTTGCTACGGGATCTTCTGTACAAATGAAGGAGAAAACAAGACGAATCCAGCTTGGATGGCTACATTATAATAAGAAGGAAGATCGTTACATTCATGTACGGGCAACTAATGGGGGAGGAACTAGAAATATGGAGTTTCCTGCTGCATACACTAAAGACAATGTCCTGCAAGCAGCCATTGGTATCTTTTTCGAAAACGGACAGTCTAAGTTTGGTTTTGCAAATGAGATGGAATTTGACCTTGCAAACTTTAAAATGGAGAAAGTGGATGTCTTAAGAGATAACGATGGAATCGAAAATCCTTTTACCATACAAGGGTATTTTCAGTGTTACAAGCTCTCAAAAGCGCGCATATATCTGATGTCAAAAGACAAGACTATCACTGAAGTGACCAACAGTGAGACAGAGGTAGGGTGCGCTATTTTTTGCACATCGCGGTTTATGCGTCAGAAAAATATGCCACACACATTTGCGTGTGCATGTCATGGCAGGAAAACCGTTTGCTTTTTTTTAGATTTGGAAAATTTAATACACATAAATTATGTGCAAGAAATGTACAATAAAGCAATTAGCGTTATTTTATATAAAAATTAAATTATAATTAAAAAATAATTATATAGATTATATCTTTGATCATGTTTGCTTTTGTATTTAAGGTGAATGCTACATCAAATGATTTTCCTGCTTGGGATGATTTTTTTGACGAAGAAAACCAAAGCACAGTAGGCGACAGTCCACAAATTTCCTCTCCCATTTTCAACGAACCTACTAGTAAAAGCCAGCTCATTGGCACATCGGAAGAAAGAGCTTCATTTTTCACAGAACTTGAAGGCAAAGTGCGAAGATCGGAATTAGCAGATCAAGAGAAGGCTCGTGAAAACGAAAGGCAGAAAAGAGAAGCAGAACGGCGTGAAGAACTCCGTTTATCTCGGGAAGCAAGAGTTTTTCCTGAAGTAGAAATAGATGATCCAAGCCACATGTTAGTTAATGTACGCCATATTTCTTTTGGTATTGTAACAAGGTCTTTCAAAAAAGAATGGTCAGTCTCTGCAGTATATGACTGGATAGGTTCCATGTCTGCTCAACCAGAGCATTTTTCGTTGACGTGTGCAACAACAAAGAAATTAATTTTTCCAGACGTTAAATGTGAGACAGTACAAAGAACAACTCTTAATATGAGTGAGAGAGAAATTCCAGTTCCACTAAGTGAAGATGAAAAGGAAGTGTTTTTTTACGCGGGCAACTCAAGTCACTTTGAAGTTACCGATGACACTGTCGTAACTAACACAAACTCGTTTGAACTGGAACAAGTAAGTAGTATTCCGCCACAACAACTGCTATCGGGGGATGAAAATGACAGTAGTCAAAGTTATGACGCGGAAATGTCGAGGCTATCTTTAAAACCAGGAACGGGGAATTGAGGAACGGAACGGAATCGAGGAACGGAACGGAACGGAACGAGAAAAGCCGGAATCTTTAAAACCCGGAATGAGAAAAGCCGGAATCTTTAAAACCCGGAACGGGAAAAGCCGGAATCTTTAAAACCCGGAATGAGAAAAGCCGGAATCTTTAAAACCCGGAACGGGAAAAGCCGGAATCTTTAAAACCCGGAATGGGAAAAGCCGGAATCTTTAAAACCCGGAATGAGAAGCCGGAATCTTTAAAACCCGGAACGGGAAAAGCCGGAATCTTTAAAACCCGGAACGGGAAAAGCCGGAATCTTTAAAATACGGAATTATTACTGTAATTAATAATTAATAATTTAATTAATTTATAAGCCAAGTTTTGGCGGGATTCATAATCTCTTTTGCGCAATTGCGCCTCTCGTGTCAGATCCTCGAACTGTGAACAAACAAGTAAGCAGTATTAAAAGCAAACAACCTCAAGAAATTTTGTGTAAGGCTGATGTTCTATTATTCTGGAGGAAACACAGTGGGTTAGTTTTTATAGCGAATACTATTATCAATACTGTTGAATTGAAGCTCGATTTTTTATATACGTCTGGCAGATACCACATCATTTTCAAAATACTAGGCCGTTTCAATAAGCTTTCCAACTGTGTCTGTTATAAAATGTTTAAAACTATAATTATATAATATTTTGAAAGCTTCAAATACGTGTGCTTACATGCGCAGCAAGGCGAGACTTTGAAAATTATAGTTTTTGAATTTCCGTGGCATGATCGACACAACAGTGTGTTGCGAACGTTTTCTCGGCGAATTTTCTACTAACCTGTATATAAATTCCACTAAAATGTAGGCATTTTCACAAGCTTTCAAAACGTCCACGTTAGGGATGTATGTCGTTAAATTTCGACTTAATGTAAGCGATTGAAACTTGTGCCTAAAACCAGACATAATATATATTCCGACTAAAATGTACTATTCCGACGGCAATTTTTACACCCTCGTTTAGGCAACGAATTATCGCTCAATATTCTAGCTAATGTACAATGGTTATAGCTTGTACCAAAATGTAGCCGATTTCACCAGCTGTCTGACAATATGCGTAAAATTATTGTACCTGTAATATTCGCACAGATCTAGACGAATTAAAGTCATGTTTATGTTGCATTAAACTTTCTAATTATAATTCTGGTTTCAAATATTGTTTACATTTTGTTATTTTGACCCCGTCGTTTAGACAACGTTTTCTAGCTCAATATTGTAGCTACAATATTCTAGCTCGTACCAAAATGTAGCTGATTTCACCAGCTATATCTGACAATATGCGTAAAATTATTGTACCTGTAATATTCGCACAGATATAGACGAATAAAAGTCATGTTTATGTTGCATTAAACATTCTAATTATAATTCTGCATGGTTTCAAATATTGTTTACATTTTTTTATTTTGACCCCGTCGTTAAGACAACGTTTTCTCGCTCGATATTGTAGCTACAGGAATATAGCTCCCGCTAAAATGTAGGCATTTTCACAAGCATTCAAACTATCTGCGTTAGGGGTGAATGTCGTTAATAGTCGGAACATATTATGTCTGCTTTTAGGCATGAGTTTCAACCGCTTTATATATTAATAGTATATATATTAATTATATTAATATCATAATTAGAAAGTTTAATGCAACATAAACATGACTTTTATATGTGCGAATATTACAAGTATAATAATTTTACGCATATTGTCAGATAAGCTGGTGAAATAGCTACATTTTGGTACAAGCTAGAATATTAATTGTAGCTACAATATTGAGCGAGAAAACGTTGTCTAAACGACGGGGTCAAAATAACAAAATGTAAACAATATTTGAAACCAGAATTATAATTAGAAAGTTTAATGCAACATAAACATGACTTTTATTCGTCTATATCTGTGCGAATATTACAAGTATAATAATTTTACGCATATTCTCAGATAGCTGGTGAAATCAGCTACATTTTGGTACGAGCTAGAATATTGTAGCTACAATATTGAGCGAGAAAACGTTGTCTAAACGACGGGGTCAAAATAACAAAATGTAAACAATATTTGAAACCAGAATTATAATTAGAAAGTTTAATGCAACATAAACATGACTTTAATTCGTCTATATCTGTGCGAATATTACAGGTACAATAATTTTACGCATATTGTCAGATAGCTGGTGAAATCAGCTACATTTTGGTACAAGCTATAACATTGTAGCTAGAATATTGAGCGATAATTCGTTGCCTAAACGAGGGTGTAAAAATTGCCGTCGGAATATACATTCTAGTCGGAATATATATTATGTCTGGTTTTAGGCACGAGTTTCAATCGCTTACATTAAGTCGAAATTTAACGACATACATCCCTAACGTGGATGTTTTGAAAGCTTGTGAAAATGCCTACATTTTAGTGGAATTTATATACAGGTTAGTAGAAAATTCGCCGAGAAAACGTTCGCAACAAACTGTTGTCGACCATGCCACGGAAATTCAAAAACTATAATTTTCAAAGTCTCGCCTTGCTGCGCATGTAAGCACGCGCATTTGAAGCTTCAAAATATTATATTATAGTTTTAACCATTTTATAACAGACACAGTTGGAAAGCTTATTGAAACGGCCTAGTATTTTGAAAATGATGTGGTATCTGCCCAGACGTATATAAAAAATCGAGCTTCAATTCAACAGTATTGATAATAGTATTCGCTATAAAAACTAACCCACTGTGTTTCCTCCAGAATAATAGAACATCAGCCTTGCACAAAATTTCTTGAGGTTGTTTACTTTTAATACTGCTTGCTTGTCTGTTCACAGTTCGAGGATCTGACACGAGGGGCGCAATTGCGCAAAAGAGATTAGGAATCCCGCCAAAACTTGGCTTATAAATTAATTAAATTAATAAATTATTAATTATTAATTACAGTAATAATTCCGTATTTTAAAGATTCCGGCTTTTCCCGTTCCGGGTTTTAAAGATTCCGGCTTTTCCCGTTCCGGGTTTTAAAGATTCCGTCTTCTCATTCCGGGTTTTAAAGATTCCGGCTTTTCCCGTTCCGGGTTTTAAAGATTCCGGCTTTTCCCGTTCCGGGTTTTAAAGATTCCGGCTTTTCTCATTCCGGGTTTTAAAGATTCCGGCTTTTCTCATTCCGGGTTTTAAAGATTCCGGCTTTTCTCATTCCGGGTTTTAAAGATTCCGGCTTTTCTCATTCCGGGTTTTAAAGATTCCGGCTTTTCTCGTTCCGGGTTTTAAAGATTCCGGCTTTTCTCATTCCGGGTTTTAAAGATTCCGGCTTTTCTCGTTCCGGGTTTTAAAGATTCCGGCTTTTCTCATTCCGGGTTTTAAAGATTCCGGCTTTTCTCGTTCCGTTCCGTTCCTCGATTCCGTTCCGTTTCTCGATTCCCCGTTCCTGGTTTTAAAGATAGCCTTTAAACAAGCCATAGATCGACGTATACGGTATTTACTCCCATGTTCACGTCGCCATATTAACTTCTTCCAATCACTCGATTACAAAACAATCATCCCAAAACAAAGAATGCATGATCGACTTTTAAAAGAATAACCAATAATTTGTAAATCGTTGAATGGAAAGCAAAAAATCGTCAGCTAAAACAGCTTCTTGCTAACTTTCTGCTTTGTTTTGAATGTAAATGCAATGCCAATGAGCTTTGTTTCTGCCCGCAATTTTTTGGTCAGCGACGACAAATTTCCTACCTGTTTATCTTGTCTACAACTTTGAGAAAGTACAGACAACGCTTTCTAAAATTCTCAGTTCTAGAGATATCTCTATAAAATCACAAGGACATTTATAATGCGAAGTCTTTTGGCTATGACACTGGCCTGAAAAATAACTCTTTTAACGCGATCAAGGTAAGTAAAACAAAAGTAACACGAAGCCAAAGTAACGGCAAAATATAAAAATATGCTCTGTAAACTTACGACGAAGTGGAGAAACGTGTGCATGAGTTGTTTATTTGGTGATTTCAACGTATGTGGAAGCCCTCTTTCCAATAATATTCGCTTATCGCACAGTATATGTAACATATATATACTAACACCAACTGATGTAATAGTTCAAATGCAATGATAAATTATCTCTTGAATTACATCTCAGAAGCTGTGTTGGAAATTTAAATGCTGATCCATTATATATAGATTACCGTTTTACATCGTTCTATAAAACATTTTGATCGCATGTAAGCAATTATATCTCAGCCCAGAGACATAGCCCAAAGACTAAACATTAACGTGTTTGTAATTTTAAAGAGATACATCCAGAACTAAGGATATTAGAAGGAATTATCTGTACCTTCTCAAAGTTGTAGACAAGATATGTAGTTTACGTCCAACACGCATAAGATTGCATAACTCAAAATGATTCGAGCAAAACCGGTCATTTGTTAAAAGGAAGAATGGTTAATAGAAATTGGTCGTTTTGAGTGGCATAATCGTGTATCGTCATCGATCCGTGTCGTTGAACAATGAAAAAATTTGCTGTGAAATTAGTGAAGATAAATTAAAATTAATTATAAATAGCAGTTTGTGAGAAAACTGCGGGTCTATGGAGTGGGAACTTTTCGGATTTGAACTCAGCGTATTCGAAAGTGTTAGTTAGTTCCCGTAAAAATATTTGAGATCTAAGACATGCTTAATGAAAATCGTTTTCTAAGCACTTTTCGAGGTCACAACATACGGACTATATAGGTCTCATGCTATGTCAGTGAAAAATAGGCCTTCCAGAGGAGGAACGCTCGAAAGGCCAAAGTTCTGCTTATATTTTTTCAGGTAGTTAAGTTGTATCCCTCTCAATTCGCAGCTGTTACCTTGATTAACCTGGCAACGTACTGGACATACGGCTTTATTATACGGCTTTCCAAAATTCTCTAT